AGAGCAATGCCACACTGCTACTGAGAAACTTAAATTGAGCAATTTGTCTGATGAATTGCATTTGACAAGTAAAACTTCCATCTGTAGCAGATGTTTGAGACGTATTTATATATGCTGTTCTCATTGTTCTGTCTCTCTCTCTCTTTATATAAAGTACATACAAAAGAACATTCAGAGATCACCCACCTGTCACAGCATTAAAGGTGTGTTCAGTGCTGCTGACTCCGCCAAACACAGTGAAGAGAGTGAAACTGTAGTTTGTCCCAGCAGTCAGAGAAGAGACCACGTATTCTACTGATGCACCTTGAGAAGATGCAGCAATATTTTTTACTATGAGTTCTCCATTGTCATCATATTGTAGGGTGTAATCTAGGATGTCGTTGACTTTGTTCCACCTCAGAGTTATACTGCTTTCATTCTGGTTCACCACCGTCACTGCTCCAACCTTGTCAGGAGCTGAAAAGAGTTGACAGTTTCATATTAGAAAAAGAGTTGACTGTCATGCTGATTTTTACCACAATAACAGTTGTTAATATGATCTGCATTCACACCTGTATCATGTATTACAAACTGTAGACAAAATACAACATTTCATTCTTACGTGGTTTTGTTGTCAGTTGTGGGCTTGTGACTGCTCTCGGTTCAGTGCTTGATAATGATGTTGTGGTGGAGTCAATTACACCCTAAAAAGAGAACAAGAATCAGTACAAAGAAAATGACCTAATCCTAAAATTCCAAACTGTGTGTACAAAACTGTCAGAAGACCATCAAACTATGAAATCTCCACAGACGGGAGCTTTCAATTTATAAGACAAACGCTGCAATTTATGAGCATCCGGGATCAAGGTAGTTTCTGCTTTTATCTTGTATCCATCTTATTTTGTATAATTGAACAGAGAAAAAAGTTTTCAAATACAAAAAGTTATATTCATGATAAATATGTATAAACATTTTTTTAGAATTTTAAAAAGTAGCACAATGATTTTTGTGTTAAAATCACTGTCCAAATTCTTCAGCTTGACTGCTTTAAATGAACAGAAGCATGACAGGGTGTTAAAAAAAAAAACATGTAGATGTGTTCTGTTGGACTCTGCTTGACAAGAACAAAGAATTCAATCAAAAAGTTCACTGAGACTTTTAGAGGCAAATAAATTAGACTGATGTGCAGGAACATTCTGAAAACATAAGAGAATGTCACATGCAATTTATAGTGTGGAAAACATTTTAGTACTTTGTTCATCTACCTTCAAACCTGCAACAAGTATAAAAACAACAAAAGTATGCTCATGGAGAGCCGGTCCAAAAAGAGTAAATAAGAAAAAAAAACTGTCCCAAAATTGTTCTTTTTGAATAAGCAAGCTACATTCATTCAACACAGCTATCGTTGCATGGCAATTACCTAAAATATCTTTCATGACATGTATATCCTCCCATAATATAACATTCAAAATTCTATATTGTCTATAACATGACATTAAAAAACAGCAACTATCTGCATTATTCTGTCTACAAAATACAATAACCAACGTAACAATAAAGGATTAGGACATCGCTTCCTTTACGTTTTACATTATTTCCTCATTCATGCTTTTGATTCACCAAGGAAGTCAGTGAGAATACAGTAAATTCATATTTCACTATTTGAAAAAGTCCATGGTTTTCCTTTTGTGCAATAGTTTTTCTGGCTTTTTTTTTGTTGCTGTTTTCTGTACATACTGATCTTTCAGTAAAAGCAGTTCCACTATCTAAACATCATGTTGATGACTATCACGCACTGAACCTTCACTGTGGTTTTAACTGCATAGTTTCCTTTTGTTGAGGGTAATCTCTTCAACACGGCTTCACTATCTGATCACCATCAAAGTCAGAAATTTAGAAAAACAAAAAAACACTTACCCAAAGTAGACTCAAGAAGACCCACAGCAGCAAGTGGTCTGAGCTGGGTTTGAAAGACAAACGCTTCATTATTGTTAAGGACCTAACCTAGAGACATACTATGAACCTAAACTCCTTTGTTGTCCCAAATGAACTTCAGCTTTCTATTTTCAGTACTCCGACTGGTGTGTTGACAAAAACAACAACAATTAAGGTTTGCTCAAGAATGTGTCCGACCCTGGGCTGATGCTGTTCGGTGTTAACTTTATTCCAGTGGTGTTGACTTTTAATTCGCTACCGTGTCCTCCTATTGTAACCTCTGGTCCTTTGTCATATTGGCAAGTGACTAAGTAAATAGCTGCTTCTTCTTTTTGGCCTTGTATAACCACAGAGACCTTTGCCCCGCCTTTTACTTCCTTATTAACGGTCATAGTGTGCTGCTTGTCAAAGGTACGTCTATTAAGTCACTTCGCCTGTTTTGCCTTCTTATCATGAGAAACTGCTTTATATCTGCTATAAATACCAGTTTCATGTGACTGCCTGTGTCCCTTTATTGTGGATAAATAAATAATTAATTTGTTATTTGTGAACACAGACAAAGCTTGCAAATACTATTTATGATGAATATTTATTTATTTATTTATTTTAAGAATTTCAAAAAGTATCATTATTATGAAATATTTGTTAAAATCACTGTCAAGACTGTTCAGCTGGACTGGCTTTGAAAAACAGCAAATATGTTTTTGGTTTGTTTGTGCTGTCTCGCGAGGCTGTGATATTTATAGCTTCCTTGTGGTTGAGTGCTATAAGGAACTGTGAGCAGCAAATATACCCTTCATACTTGAAGCAGAACATGAAGTTTTGACAGTGTTTATGGTGTCATATAATGAGCAGTGCTCAATAAAAGTGCTGGTATATCAAAGGAGTGCTGTCTACTGACATGCACAGGGGAAACATGAGGAGGAACTTTGTTTTCATAAACTGTGATAATTTTCCTCATATGTTAGTACTGGACAATTATACTGCTAAGCAGAACAACTGTTATGTGTTTCCGTGTGAGATACTGAACCAAACAGGGTCAGTATCTAGCATGGAAGGTCTTTAGAAGAGGCATATTCATTTAACATTCATACAAAACTATAGTATTTTAAGGTTTTGTTTGGGCTCTGTCTGCATAATTTGCCTTGTATGGCATTTGAAGACCTGCACTCTAAAATAATTAACATATAAAAATCATATTTAACATTGAAATTATGTTTTTTGAATCTTAACCCAAACAAAACTGAAATTTCGTTAAGTTTTTACAAACATCTGTCCCAAATGTTGGTGGCAAATGGCAGAATTTAAGCAACGCTGAATGTCAATAGATGCTTAAGACCTGGAGCTCCATCCTGATGGTGTTATCACCACAAATAAGCCTTTTAGAATCAACTGTTTATACATTTAAATGTTACAACTGACTTCATTAATTATTCTGGTAAGTACAACCTGTTTATGCAGAAGTAAATTAACTGTGCAGTCCAGCAAATGGTGCATAACTGTAACCTACAGTACTCTGATAAGCCTTTCTATGAGTGCAGCACTTAGTCATCTGTTGCCCTTTAAATCAGCCCATTTCTCTTTGAGTGATTCTGAGAAGCTCATCCATGGCTTTTATCACAACTGTTTCCACCCTGCCAGATCCTCAATAGACTGCATTACAGTCATAGTACCGCTGGTCACGAATTTGTGCATCATCCTTTGGCAAGGACCACACTAATCTCCCAATTCCTGCCACCACCATTACTCCTCAGCCCGGACTTTTGCTCATTTCCCCTTCACTGCAGGACTTATATTAAACTTTTCCCCAGTTCAGATACATAAATGTGTATGTTATCATGCTTTTCATTAAATATTAACCAGGGTCTGCACTCTCACATCTCCAGTTTTGCCTAAACTGATTACTGAGGCCAGCTGTTTATGCATCTTTTTTAAATGAGGTTGAACAAACAGTCCGTGTTATTTCATAGAGAGTATGGCTCAGTTCCCCAGACATGGATAAAGCCTAACTCACAGTCACAACCTGTCATATGCCCCCAACCCGAGTGGTGGCGGTAGAGATACACACAGTATGAACACACAAGAGAGCTAACAAACATTATCTAAGGAGGGCCACCTTTTCGCTGCTTGTAAACAAGAGCAGACGGTCACTTTCTGTGGTCCTGGCAAAGTGGGGTAGCATTACTTTCATAGAAAAGGTAAGTGAGACAAGAACCAGGTGATACTGACCTGTAGTAGACTTAATTAGCCACTGGTAAGTTAGCTAGCAAGTGTTTAGTTGGTGGTAACATGATGTACTAACGTTAGCTAAGCAGTCAGCTCGCAGCTTCTAACAGCGGTCAGAGTTAAACTAGCTAAGCTAGCTGTTAAGCTAGCTTTTAGCATGTCGTTTTCGTTTTAAAGGTCTCTCAACGAGTGGCGTTAACCGTGTTATCGGCCACCATACCGACTAACAAAGTGCGCTAACGGTAGCGTCGCCTGCCAAACACCTGTGTGGAGATGATACAGCTCACCTGGACCCAAATCACCTCATAGCACATGACGACAAGGGGCTGGTGTTTTACTGAGCTCTTAAATATCAGTTGAGTTAAAGGTGGCGAGCAAATACGCACAGAAGCCTTATCAAGTCTACTTCAGAAGGAGACTGAGCACATGCGTTTGTTAGTCGAGTTAGCCTGAGAAAGAAGAGGTAAGAAGTGTTTATTCTGGACTTTTAATTGCTACAAAAAGGAATATTTTTTCTGCTTATGTTAGGACTTGATCTGAATTGACATGGATTTACCATCATACCGTGGTTTCTGTATTTTTCTGTGTTTTAGAAATGCAGTCTGTGGTGAAACAAAACCTTCATTCGGAGACTGAAGTGGACATCAACAAACTCATCAACCTGAAGCTCAATGCATCCTACACCTACCTGTCCCTGGTAGGATTTCTTCAGCAGTAAAGCTATATAGAAACTAGAATATTAGTAGTATTTGTTATGCAATCTGTATTTATATCTTGTGCCTTCCCAGTAATCCCTAAATATTGTTTTTTTTTATTTTCTCTCATCTCTTGTAGGGGATGTATTTTGACAGGGATGATGTTGCCTTGCCAAACTTCTCCAGCTTTTTCCTGGAGCGCTCGGTGAAGGAGAGGGAACAGGCTGAGAAGCTGCTGGAATATCAGAACATGAGGGGAGGCCGAATTTTGCTCCAGACAATTGCTGTATGTCCCAATCAATAATGAGTGGACTTTTAAAGCCACTATTGTTTAGACTTTGGTAGACTTTTGGTAGACTTAGGTTTTTTTGTTACATCTGTTGATCCAAGTGCCAACTTTCTGTCATAGAAACCAACTAGAGAGGATTGGAGAGGTGGTCTGGACGCACTGTCCTTTTCTCTGGACTACCAGAAGTCCCTGAACACATGTGTCCTTGATGTGCACCGCAAAGCTGGCACCAACAGTGACCCTCATGTAAGTCTGGCATGATTCCATAAATTTGCAGCTTGTACGGTTTGATGGTGACCAGCTACACTGGTTTTCATAGTTTTTTGTGTTCATCGTTAGGACATATCTCAGAATGGCAAACTTGCGTGGTGTTAAGTAATTTGTTAAATGTTAACTGTCTTACTTACGTATGTGTTTGGGAATCTCAACAGAATTATTTTTACTCACTATCTTCTGTCTTCTGTAGCTGTGTGACTTCCTCGAGCAGCACTTCCTCACTGACAGCCACGACACCATCAAGAAGCTGGGCGATTACATCGGCAGTCTGACCCGACTCACTGCGTCCGAGACCCATGGTTCTATGGGAGAGTACCTCTTTGATAAACACACTCTGTAAAGGTCACAGCAGTAGACACAAGCTCCTCATTTACATAGATGCATAGAGACACTTGCATTCTTTTCCGTTAAGAAAACTTGACAATATTTTTTTACCCCAAACCTCATTCTTGTACAAATAAGATGAAGTACTCCAGAGGAAGTTAAGTACAAATACCTCAATTTTTCTTTAAAAAAAAATAAAAAAAATAACAAAAGTGGAAAAATGTTCTCCAGGTGCTACAACTACCATTTTGTAAGCTGTTAAAATGAGTCACTTGTTCACATCGACTCATTTGTATCATGTGTCATTCATTCCAAGGTCATAGGTGTCAACCTTCACAACTATTTATAGAAATGGATACAATTTTGAGTCAAAAAGAAATGATTTTAAGAGATTTAACTTTTGGAATTCCATTGAAATATGAATTAAAGTCTGATTATGCTGACAATTTTTTTGTTAAGTCTTTTCTTTCTTTCTTTTTTTAAAAAAAAATCAATTCAGCAGTAAAACTTTGTGTCCAGTTGTTCAGACACACAGTCATTGGATTTGTCATGTAGTCTGAGCGCATTTTGTGTGTCAGGTCTGTTACATATAGAACATTGTAAAGATAACAAGTGGGACTTTGCTTACTCACTGTTGGGTGGGAGCTTAATGTTTAACATTAGGCTGCTGGACAGCTTGTGGTTAAAATGTCCACGCTGCTTCTTAGTAAATTATATATTTCAGCAAAGATAAGATTCCGCGTCAGCAATATGTCAACAGATTGCATCACGTCCAGGCATATTTGCAGTTTTACTCTGCTCCTGTTCCAGTTGCGTTGTAACAAGCAGGGATGCAACACATTTGCAATAAATAATATTAACTTGGTAAGGTGTGAAAAAAAGGTTTGAATTCTATTCTTTGACTAGATTTTAGATGATACGGTTGGGGGGAGAGATCTTGTTAATTAGCTGACACACAGTATAAAAATCATGTGTTCTTGCACATTCTAGGAGAATATAATGCACCAAATTCCAACAGCTCTGCAATAAATGCTACAGAGCTCACATTGTTTTGTTGCCGTGTTGGTGTTTGTTTCCCTCCACACTTTCGTATGTTAACTATCAGAGAAGGCTGTTGCATGTTAGATTGGCCACCGAGATCTCCAGATGTAGCCGTGCAAACACGTGGCATCGTGCCTGGGGATTACTGTTCACAGTGCTCTAAATGCGGGTATGTGTTTTGTACAGTAAAATGGTAAGCCAAGGGATGGGGCCGGTGGAGTATCCGCTCTCAGTGAAAGTTGCTGGTAGATCGACGATTGACTGCAAGGACAGCTATTCTGAGGGGATTAGCGAAGGGCTGGATGCACAACAATCTCTTCAGTCTAATGGATAAACACAGCCACCACTGCTTTCAATGTAATGAATGGCCACTTTTTCCTGACACAAAGCACAAGCCTTAAGTTGTATGTTACATTCTTAACACTGTAGTCGCTATAAAAGAAAAAGTGACTGTTGGTTTTCATGTGTTTTCAGTCCAACATAAAGCAACAGATGTGTTGTCAGCCTTCTAATATTAGTAGGAAGGGTGGGGGGGGGGATTAAACGACAACACTGCTCGAGTGATTTGCCAGCGCTTTAGCTTTGATGCAAAGGGTTGCAGGACGCCTGCCAGTCAGTGTTAGCAGCATACAGAGGGATTGATAGGTGTGTGAAAGCTCCAACACGCCAAGGGAGAAAAAAACACTTGGAACTACTAGTTGCTCCAACAGCTGTTTAGAGGGAATTAAAGGAGCCCATCAACAGGTAAGATAACTATTACATAATATTTCAGACACTTTGTTATCAAATGTAAGAGCACTGCATTAAATCTGAACTGGTGACAGAAGTCTACATTTTTTTCATTGATTTTATTAAAGATAAAATCACAGTTGGTTTAGAACAAACCCACTAAAGGACTGCTTTTCCTCATGACTGGTTCATTTGATGTAGTTTGTTTGGTTTCCTATGAATCTGACTAAAAGCATCACCCACTTAATAAACGTGGGATTAGGATTAAAATATTTTTTAAACTTTAATCAGCATCTTCCATTATTGATTATTTGATTCCATCAAAACACAATCTTTTTCTGTATAATATACTAAACATGGTAGAAATGATACTGTTTTTTGTTTGTTTGATATTTTCCAACCCTGGAGGTTCCTGTACCAGAACAAGGCCGCATCTGTTTTAAAAACACAACTCAACGCCATTTTTTGGAGGTTACAAATTGTAGCACATTAAATGAAAAGGTCATTTGGCACTAAATCCACTAAAATAGCTTTTCTGGTGCTTCATTTTGTGTTGCCTCAAAATTGGCAATTGTGCAGAATTTCTGAAGTATGATCAGTAACATTAGTGTCACTCAGTCATTGTTTAAGTCTGTTATTTACTCTAAGTTACAGTTTGATGAGGCAGAAGCAAAAATAACACATTTTTCAAATCTCATTCTGCTCTGGTGTTGGAGATGAGGAGAGTTACTGTATTTCACAATGCTTTCAACTGTCTCTTATTCGAAAAGTCCAATGTCATTCATTTGGGCCTACAGTTGTGGAGCTGTAAAAGATTTGGGGTTTTTTTGTGAAATATTTTGAGAAAGAAATTAAAAATTAAAAAAAAGCTTAAGTTTAAGGGGTTAAACATTATGGGGATACATATGCATGAAAACTACAAATAAAAAGACTGAGCTTTCCATGAATCTTGACTGTAGTCGTCTGGGCTTTGTTTGAACTGCCACAAGAAACAGTCATCTTTACTAAAAACTTTCCAAGGGAGTTAACAGAGAGCCAAACAGCGACTGTGTGTGAGGAAAATTGAGGGAGGACAGCAACCACCATTTATTAAAGCTTTGAGAATCTGGGATTTTGGATTAATATTGTAGTGCCAGAGTTTAATCCAGTCTCCAGCAGAGACAGTGGTGACAGAAAAATGAGGATGGGATGAATGTGGGAGTGGGTTGTGGGATGGAGGAGATGACAGAGAGTAACAGAGGGATTAGGGTCAGCCATGTTGAGCATCTGGCTCAGAGATGTCCTATGCTCCTGAACTATACTGCAGCACATGAACATAGGGATTACACCGCATGCATGTAAAGTTGTGTGATCACTCACTGTAGGAGCCAAATTGACAGACAGCATAACACAACACGACTGTGCTGTTTTGACAGCAGACATGAGGCTGGTCAGTGCTGGGGTCCGACTCCGGAGGGCTGCTGAGCCGTCTGAACCGGAATCGGAGGAAGCAACGGAGCCAGCTCATCATGAACACCCTCACTCAGAACACCACGAACACGCACACACAGAACATCACCCGGGGCACGACTACAACCACATGAAGGAAAAGTTCATGAATGAACTGAGTCATCTGCCAAGTAAGACACTTCTAGAATTTGCAACACGGTTGAGATATTAATAACTAACTAATCTGACACAATATAAAGAATGATTTTATATTAGCTTGTTGTCTGGTTTGTTACATCAACCATTACAGTGATCATTCCCACAAAAATACAGGTGCAATCAGTGCACATTAACAACTACTGTTTATGATGTCAGGAGTAAAGCTCTTAATGACAATCTGCAGCAGCGGTGCCGCTGTGGGACACTGTGGTAGCACAGGGCCACTCCTAGCTGGGACAGTGTTATTATCTGATTGCAGAGAAGGGTGTTACTGACAAAGCATATGCTCAGCTAACCGTCTCTGAGATAAGTAAGTGCTCCAGTTTCTGCTGCGAGAAGCACCAAATTTCATTTTAACAGAATCATATTTTATTTTGAAATTTTGCATTATGGCTTTGGCTCTGTTCCCAAGCTTAGGATAAGCTGTTTATGTTCAATATTGTTGGAACCAAATTAGATTATATAAGTAAGCTGATTTCTCAAAGTTCTTTTTTGTCATCTTAAGATGTGAAAACATGAAATCCTCTTCCTGATGTGTAAGATCACCAAGCTCCTGATGGAGAGTGTAGTGTTCAAAAGTTAAGACGTCTACCTAAAGAGCAGTTTAAAACACTTTTTTCCCCCTTGTTTCAATGGGTTTAGTTGCTGTTGTTTGGAGGTCAAGATTTTTCATTAACATGTAAGCTGTGTATGTAGAGGACATAATTAAACACTCACTCATTTCTGCCATCATAAGCACACTCCCATGATGTATGCTGTGGGTACTGATCTGTCAATTCACCTCTTAATTTTGCAGTTCCCATGTGGGCAGTAGGAGCCATCGTTGTGTTGGTCCTGCTTTTGGTAGCGTGCTTCATCTTTTGTGTTTTCAAAAAATGCTTTGGAAAAAAGAAAAAGCCAAAGAAAGTGAGAGAGAGGAAGACAGGTCGCCGCAGAAAGGAAAAGGAGGGTGAAGGAGAGGCTGGAGAGAAGGTAACCTGTTACTGCATTTCTAAATAACCCATTAAATCTGCGATCTTACCTGATTAGGATCTTCACGATGGATGTGTTTTTGTGTTGTAGGAGGGGGAGGTGAAGAAGGAAGGTGAGGAAGAGGAGAAAGAACAGGAAAAGTTGGGTAAGCTGGAGTTCTCCTTGGACTACAACTTCACAGATTCCCAGGTAGGTCCTGTGTGAAAACATCAACAGCTCCATCAGAAGCATTCATAACAATGATTAGAATACATGACATATTTGTTTTTCTTAAACCACTGCCAATCCCTGGTCACTCTGACACTTGTTCTCTTTCTTCTGAAGCTCATAGTGGGTATCCTTCAGGCTCAGGATCTTGCTGCTATGGACATGGGGGGAACTTCAGACCCCTATGTCAAAGTCTTTTTGTTGCCAGACAAAAAGAAGAAGTATGAGACCAAGGTTCAACGCAAAAACTTATGCCCTGTTTTCAATGAGACTTTCATCTTCAAGGTATCGCATCCCTGAGGCGCTTTTGTCCACTTGATGTTGTCTACGTTTTGTCTTTATGTCTCAGCTTGTGTCGGTGTTCCAGGTTGTTGATGGCTTTTAACCCTACATGAGGCAGAATTCCCTGACTGACATCTGTCAAGATATCCCTCCCCAAAAATTACAGTGCAGTATGTTAACTGTCTCCTGTCACTCTATGTTCTTTGTTATTGTCTTGATTTTTACATTTCATTACGTGTAAATAAAGCTATCTAATGTCTACCTTCACCAATTTTACAATCAAATGTCATAATACCCTCTCTTTCTAGATTCCATATGCAGAGTTGGGCGGAAAGACGCTGGTGCTGCAGGTCTTTGACTTCGATCGTTTCTCCAAGCACGACATGATTGGCGAAATAAAGATTCCCATGAACAGTGTTGATTTGGGCCAGCCAATGCAACAATGGAGGGACTTGGAGAGTGGTGAGAAGGAGGAGGTACAATGGTGTCTTTGTTTAACATGTACCATGTGTTGTTTTAAATTTCACAGATAAAATGTTTGCACTAAAAATAATAATCACATATTGATATTATATAGATCACTGTCAATATCAAAAAATAGAAAGTAATATACTCCATGTTATTGCTTTTAAAAATTAAGAAATCATAATGGGGGTTTTCACAAAACTTTCTTTCAGCAGGAAAAACTGGGTGACATTTGCATTTCTTTACGCTATGTACCCACTGCGGGAAAACTGACAGTCAACATCATGGAGGCAAAGAATCTAAAGAAAATGGATGTTGGTGGCTTATCAGGTGACAAGCTTTGTAATACTTAAGTCTTGTGAAAATAATGAATTAGCCACACAAAACACATCTCACCCTTTCTTCCTCCTTCACAAGATCCATACGTGAAGATTGTTCTGCAACAAAACGGAAAACGGATTAAGAAGAAGAAGACGACAGTCAAGAAAAACACACTAAACCCCTACTTCAATGAGAGTTTCAGCTTTGATGTCCCCTTTGAGCAGATACAGGTGAGCTTCACCAGTGACCAGCTTGAAATCTATCAGTGTCATTGTGAAGTGTGACTGAAGATGCATTTTTCTTTTCTCTTACAGAAAGTGCAGGTTGTCATTACAGTATTTGACTATGATAAACTTGGGAGCAATGACCCCATTGGAAAGACCTTCATGGGTTATGGAGCTACAGGAGTCGGCCTGCGCCACTGGTCAGATATGCTTGCCAATCCCAGACGTCCAGTAGCCCAGTGGCACACTCTCATGCCCGAGGAGGAAGTCGATGCAGCACTGAAAGCAAAACCTCGTTAGAGGCCACTTCAGCGGATTATCAAACACTGCTGACGTGTTACTTAGTGTTAAACCTGATGTTTTCTCAATTTGCATGTTCTGTTTTCCATTTTGTTTCTTTTGAGATACTTCCATGTATGTTTGTAGGTGTGTATGTGTGCATGTGAGAGGAACAGGCAATTTTTGATAATTCATTGTTATTAAAACCTTGGCTTCCCCTGTTTACCGTAAGCTATCAGGGTTTTTCCTGGCTCAGAATGGGCCTTTGGGGAGCAAAAAAAATCTCTCTGCAGGAAAAACCCTGATTATTTACCAATATGGCTCTGTATTTGTATACTTTGAAAATACTTCTCTGTAAATGTGCATTTTTTGTGTATGCTAATGAATGGAACTTGGATGCAAAAAGGAATGATTCCCAGAATTAGTCTGTGCTCAGAAAAGTCTGCTGGCTCAGGAGACATGTAAACTTTCTAGATCGTGCATTATGTTGGGCCTTTTTGCTAACTTTGTAGTGCTGTGGTGCAGCAGACTCCTAAAAAATGCAAATAAACCTACAGTGGACAGTTTCACACCAGTACTTTCTTGACTCTCTTGCATTAATCATCATAATACATCAAATTTAAATGACATCTTGTGTAATACACTACAATAATATATTCATAGGCACAGATTTCAGGGTATTCCGGGGGATACTCCCTTGTCAATATTTAGAACATTTGACCTTCAGCCCTGGCTCTTTATTAATTAATCATAAGCAATAAGCAAAAATAATGTTTAAACTCCAGAGCTACCGAAGTTCAAGGGTTGTGAATTAAATCCGACCGGTTTATTAATCATTAACAAGAAAAGGGTGACAAATGCACATTTAAATAGTTATGTCCTCAAATAAAACAAAAGAGGACAAACCCAGCCTATATGTGCAGCAGGGGTAATATCACAGGAGAAAAGCTGATTTATAGGAGAAAAAAATGTTGGAAAGAAATACAAAATGGCAGGCAGCCTTACAGCATTATATTCCAGTAGATTTTGAACTGTGAGCTGGAGCCTGGATTTAGTGCTCTCTTGACATAAAAAACGACTTTTCTAACATAAATTAATGCTGAAATTGTGTATAAAAGTCACTGTACTCCCATTGAATTCCTCCGCGTCACCGCTAGATGGAGTCTGTCTTCTCCATTTTGAAACTGTCGCTTAGCAACAGAACCCAAACTTTCTGCTCGGACATTTAGCTGCAAACTTTACTCAGTTGTATACAGTCGGTGAGGTAAGTTTCTACAACAGATTTGCCTCTTTTGATATTATCTGGTCGCATGTTATGACGGGTTTCTGTCACCATATTTGTGTTAGAGGCGGGTTTGTGCCTCAGTTAATAGCTACAGTTAGAAGCTAACGCTCATTAGCCTAAAAAGTGCCGTTAGCTTAATTTCGCGCTAAGCTAAGCTGTTTCATAAGAGCTCCGCGTCAACTGACGTTGTGTTAGCATGACTATGAGCGTACCCGTTCCTGCTTAATTTCAGTTTAAACCACCAGCGGATGTTTTTTTTTTCCAGCTGGTCTCTGCAGCATGAGCGCTGGACGGGAGTCTGAAGGTCCCGGTTCCGTCTCCTGGTGGGGCTTCAGTCCTGCGCGCGACCTGCTCAGTCTGGGTGAGCGCACGAGGATGCTGTTTTCATTCTGGACACGTGCATCAGAGTAGCGGTGAAAAGTAACTAAAGTACATTTTGTCCAGTTACTGTTCGTTACTCTGAGGTACTGCTCTTGGGTTTTTTGTTTTTGTTTTTTTTTCTCATTTTATGATAATTTGTGTTTCTTTCCGCGTTAGTTACACTTCACTTCATTTTTACCTGTACAACTTACATTTTGCATAGGTTCAACTGATTATGGCCGATCATTGAATTTAGTATTAATACATTTTCCAATTATTGGTATCATTGTTTTCTATAAACTGATTAATTTAGAAAGGCACTGCTCTTTTTTTTTATTCATTCTCTGTGGTCTCAAAAACTGTCCCACCTACTGCACTATCTGATTGGTTAGACTTCAAAAGTCACAGTAGCCAATCAACGCTGAAGTATACATGTTGAAAAAGTTCTCTTTTATTTCAGTACAAATAAGACATAGATATACACACTCATTTCAGTGAAGTTTAGTGTTGGAGTTAGTGGTTTGTTTGGGTTTTTTTACACAGTGATTTAAATTTTTACTGCAAATGTCTATATATATAGACATTTGCACTGTGTAAAAAAAACCCAAACACATATATATATATATATTCTAAATATCAATAATTTATTTCCACGATTAATAATTCATAATTGGTATCAGTATTAGCCCTGAAAAAAACATATCTGTCGCCCACTTATCTTTATATGGTATGTGTATATAAATGTATATATGTCACCAAACTTCCTCAAACTCAACTGTAACTTCCTACTTAAAACAAAAACACTGACAGTTCATGTTCTGTTAATATCTACTGTAGTGTTACTACGTGTTTCTGTTAATATCATTCAAATAGCACGGGAAATACGAATGGCTGGATATCCTCTGAAATATCTTCAATGCTAGGCCTGATATCATCTGTACATTTTGTTACCAATGCAAAATAATACTGTTTCAATGCCTTATTTTAAAACCTATGGACATTTTATTTTAAAAATGCTTATTTTTTATTTTTAAATATCAGTTGGGGATATTTTACTGTCAAAAATGGGCAAAATAACAACTTATTTATCATTGATACATGTGAAAAGCAACTTTAAACATGGCCATGCATTCAGTGTCAACTTTTGATATCCCTGGAGTGCAGTAGTGTTCTGAAACCACTGTACACTTCGTCTCTTTATGTGTAGGCCCTGTGAGAAATGAAGGAGATGCCAACATCTTACTGGTTGGCAGTGGAGATCCGCGACATATTTTGAAGACCATTGCTGGTTTGCAGGACAAACAAAGTCTTCATGTGAGTGTCCTAAACTCTCATGTTTCCCTTGATAACCAACTGCTAACTGTACTATGAGCTGCAAGTCTTTTCTTTGCTGCCGCATTGCAGGTGTGGGTGATAGAGAACAGCATGGAGGTGGTGGCGAGACAACTGCTGCTCCTCTATCTGGCACTGATACCCCAGGAAAGCATGGGAATTAATGGTGGGTCGGATTTTGATAAATTATTAATTTTTATAAAAGCCAGATGTGTCCAAGGCCTGCAGTTTGTCTTGTACTGTTGTTTTTTTCTTCAGAGAAAACGGAGGTTTTTCTGGAGGTGTTTGGAAACAGTGAAATCCGCAGTCAGACAGACGAGACGCTGCGACGTGCAGCGTCACAGCTCTCTCTTTCTGTGACTGAAACACTGGAGGTGGCCTCACATGCGTGCCTGAATACAACTCTTCTCAAGGTACAAAAATATCTTCAACGGTCCTTATATGTTTCGGTAAGACCTCATATTTCTAAAATCAGACATTGAGGCCTGCTCAGTCAAACACAACTTGAAACCAGACTTAATGTACTATACATAACTATAAATATAATTACAAAAATGCTGCTGTGCAAGAGTTCCACAAATTCAGACAACATCTGCTAATGTGGCTCACTGAGTATTGAGTATTTCTACAGTTTAAGGAGCGAGATGAACTAGCCAGGATATTCAAGTCATGGATCCAGCCTCGTCCTTCATCATCATCATCATCCGACCCTCCTGCTCCTATCTTGATGCCCAAAGTCTGGGATTATCGGGTCAGGCAGCATCTTGGAACTCGCTATGACTCCAAGACGGGCTGTTTTGACTGGGACCTTACAATGAAGCTCCATCAGAAAGGGGTATTTAAGCATTTTGTATCCTTTCCCTATGTTGTCACAGAAGAAGCCTCACACGTTGCACTAAAACTCTTATCGTGCCGTCTGTCTGCAGTGTGGCGTCATCAACAAACACCAATACGTGCAATGGAGGGAAAAGGGATTGGCTTTTGAAATGAGGGAAGGTGTCTATCAAATAGCAAATACAAGTTTGCTCTCTTCAAGAGTGTTCAGTCGTGTAAGTGCTTCTCTGTTTGTCCACACCATCTATTTACACAGTGTAGAAATAACAAGAACTTAATGTTGTCTGTGTTTGTGGACAGAAAGGGGAAAAAGTGTCTTTCAGGGGCTACTGGGGAGACATTGTTTCCAGTCCTTACCTCTCCTTTGGCATTGAAACTGATGACAAGAGCCTGTTGAAGACACAGAACGGGCAACACATCAAGGTAACACAGACAGCAGCGACAGCACAAATTATATATTAGATTAGTTCTGTCTCTGCATCTTTATCATTATACAGTCGTGCAGTTGTCATCCTTTCATCTCTTCACATCGACAGACAGCCCAGGATATCTCCATTGCAAATGTGCAGGGATTGTTTCAGTCCCTGTCCAGCAGACGGGGCTGCCCCACTACTTCTCCGTCGGACTCAGAGGAGCCATCCACACAGATTGACCAGAAATCTGTCATCATTCACGGTAAAAGGCTATGAATGTGATTAAAGCAGGCCGTATACAGGCAGGTTGGAGCCACAGCAGCACTACACAATTACAAGTCACAGTGAAAAGGCTTAAACTGAGGTGAAAGACTGGCTTATACTGCATCGTGTCTTGATGTTTAAGAGAAACTGAATCAGGAACTAGGTCTTCTGCCTTTTCAGTTCACGGTTAACAGAAAACAACAAGTAAAACGTGACAGTTTTAGCACTGAATTTTCTCAAATTCTCTTCAGACTTGATGCATCTGAATGGAATCTCTGTGACGTTCCTGCCTTTGGACTCGCTTCACAAGCTGCCAGAAAAGCAGAAATACTCCCACTACTTCAACACCATTTATGTTTCTGCCAGGTGAGACATTTCTCTCTAATTGCTACAAATGTAAAATACAAATACACTAAATTAACTTAAAACGGGAGTCTTTCGCCATCCGGCCAGCTGGACCGCAGACTACTGATATGACTGCCGACCACGTTTCATTTCTGTCTTTCTGTTTTCCTTCTCCGTCTATGCTGTAAAGCTGCGCGCACCAGTTGGGCCCGATGATGAGACAGATTGCAGCACCAGACGCCGTGCTCGTCGTGGAGTTGGCCAAGTGAGGGTTTTTATAGTAACAGGGCTTGTTACCATGGCGACCGTACAGTCACCAAGAGTACAGTGACTCTGCTGTGTAACTGTGTGTCAGATATTTTGTGTTTGCCACAAATTTAAGATCAACGGTGGCACTATTTTGAAAGGTTTCTGACGCATGTGAGTGTGGTCTTTGCATCTGTGTGTCTCAGGTACATTTTGGATTTAAACAAAGAGCAAGAAGCAGGCTTCGGGAGGAGAGTGGCGAGCATCGCTCTGGAGGCTGGATTTGAACCGTGGCATGAGGGGAACAGTGATGACGTCCATTCTGTTTTCATACAACAGAAGAAGTAAAGGTGGCTAATTTTTGTCAGCTGTTCACTCTGCTCCCATCGTCAGCTGACATACCTTCACAATATGCAAGAGACAGGATGAGGAAGCTTGAAGGCACAGACATTTTATGCAAACACAATTTTATTTGTCCTTCATAAGGAAGTTTAAAACTGCGAGAGACCTCAGCTAGTGAGTCATACGTCTTTGTAGCAGCTGTCATGAATTTTCAGCAGTAATATTCTAAATTTCCAGCTGTAGAAAATGTTACGTATTCATGCATTTCACTAGCTACAGATGCAGTTTTAAGTGGATGCATTTAAAGAAAGGATACACAAAAATCTATCACCTTGCTCAATGATAAACACTGCAAAACTGCTGCAACTTTGTCCAGAAGCTATAGAACAGTCTTCTTGTTTGTTTATGCCTCCTGTGTGTGAGAGTTCACTTCCAGCGTCCTCCAACCTTCCCCTTACCGTGGCCCTTTTTGCTGCGTTAAGACAAGAGAAGATTTAAAGATAGATAACAAACAGCCATTCACAGAAATACCAACAGCTGTGACTGAGGTTTCAGAAAGGGGAATAGGGCTATTTCCGCTTCTGCCTTATCACATTATGCAAATTCTGTAGATGTGTGCATCCTGTTCACAAAGTGGTGAATGCTAAAAGAGCTGCGAGACTGACATTTCCTGTGCATGCGTGGCCGCAACCATTGATCTGTGATATGTTTGCATAGTCAAAGCAAAGTAGCTCTGCACAATGCTCTACTTTACTCCTCTGGGGTGTGGGAGTTGTGGCATTGAAACAAGCAGATTGACTCACAATTTCTGAGCATGTTGGATTCTGTTCAGGAGGACATTAATCTGAAAAATAAAGTACATTAGATTCACTTTTTGATTTCCATAGCTTAGTTATTGTGTGTTCTCAGCTGAAGGGCTCACCTCATATTTCTGCCTCCTCATCTTCTCAGTCAGGTCGAACTTCTCTGACTCCAGCTGGTAGATCCATTCCCACATCTCTTTAGCTCTCTCTCTGAAACACAACAGCACTGACTGACAACTTGAGCTGACAGGAGTATACACAAGATTCCTAAACAACTTGGAAAAGCATGGAATTTGATTTTATTCATTGCCAGATCTGGATAAGTTTGGGGAAAAGCAAGAATATGGAAAAAAAATTGTAAATCTCGAGTAATGTCCCTAATCTGTTTTCTACAAGCAAAATTCTGAATTTCAAAACATAACTATTATCTATACACCGCTTAATCCTCACTAGGGTCATGGGGGGCTGGAGTCTATCCCAGCTGACTCAGGGTGAAGGCAGGGGACACCCTGGACAGGTCACCAGTCTATCACAGGGCTACACTTAGAGACAGACAACCAAGCACACTCACATTCACACCTACAGACAATTTAGAATCACCAATTAACCTCAACATGTTTTTGGACTGTGTGGGAGGAAGCTGGAAAACCCAGAGAGAACCCACACTGCACGGAGAGAACATGCAAACTCCACGCAGAAAGATCCCGGGTGTCCTCACCAGGACACGAACTGGCGACCTTCTTGCTGCGAGGCAACGATGTTAACCACCTTGCAGCCCCCGAAAATGATAAGTGCCAGGTTTACCCAAATGGCATTGTTACAATAAGGAGCAAATCTAAAATGTATTTATAAGAACTCAAACAGCCCTCAAAATGCTTCACTCTATCACGAGCCTTTAACCGACCTCAGGCCGTCCTCTCTCAGGTTCTCGATAGCCAGCGGCTTGCGTCTCTCTGCCAGAGTCTTCTTCTTGATTTCTCTAGCGGTTTGTCTTTTTCCTCGTCTCTGCTCTGCCTGCAGGAAACATAAACCACTCAGACTGTCATGTGATGTGATTTATTCAGAAATGCACTCTACACAGTTGCAGTATGAAGTGACACATCTGCCTCCAGATGTGTTATTCTGACCTTTGCTAGGAAGCCTCCAAAGTGAGCGCCCATGTTGGAGAGCACTTTCTTCTTCTTGGCCTCGTCGTCGGCTCGCTTCTTCGCCTCTTCATCCTCTTTCCTCTGTCTCTCCTCCTGAAAAAGTCATCTTCAGTAGTCCATTGCTTTTTGTTGTGTTGGGTCAAACTACTGAGCGGATTATTGACAAGCATGGATTAACTAGCATATGGAAAAAACATAATTAATTACCGCAATCCGCGTCTGCCTGTCCCGCTCTTTTTCAGCCCTCACGCGCTGCTGCTCGGCTCTTTCTGCCCGCCGACTCTCCTATAACAGGAAAATGTCATCAGCTGGACATTCGCACATGCCTCTTTAATCACCATTAGTCTGTAGCCTGACAAATCCCTCTTTCAGACGAACCAGTGGATAAAATAGGCAGTTGGGGAAACAGAAAAGGAAGGTCATTACAATTCTGGCTTTGAGTCCAATCAGCTCCTCTTCTTCTTTCTTCCTCTGCTCAAAGTGGACATCAATCAGAGTCTGCAGCTCCAGGAGATCTTTCTCCATCCTTTTTCTGTGGATGTCCTAACAGGGACCAGATTGAGATTATTTCAGGTTGGTTTTGGTGTAACCATGAAGTCTTTCACAACAATCTTGAGGCAACATACATCAAAGTCGACCCTCTCCCCCTCTGGGATTTTCGGGGCTGCGAGCTGTGTCATCAGTGGCCTGTAAATTAACAAGAGGACACATATATACGTATATATTCACATCATATACTTTCTATTTTTGTGATTGATAAGATTATTTACTGGTAAAATCTGGCAAATATTGTATACTCCCATGTGTTCTTACTTGTATTTGGGGCGTTCTTCTTCAACATGGCAGCCGCAGCAGCAACGAAAATGTGAATTAGTTGAGTTTCAAATAGATTTTAAATCACAACAGTTAATAGGGTTAGAAAACCGATCATGACACAGTTCATGGCCACTGCTGATAACTTGTGTTCTGCGCTTCAAAAACTAAACCGCAGTTCTTATTCTCCTGCTGTGCTGAGAGAGAATTTAAAGCTCCCTGTTATTTTGGATTCTTGTGTTGCACCATCTCCCACAACTAGAAGCTACAAGTAAACGTCGGATTGATTACAATATGCAAATCAATATTTACATTTTCAAAGGTTCTCCTGTGGGGGACGCTTTCACTCATAGGTTGCTGTAATAATTTGTGTTATTTCTAAAACTGTGGTCGATATAATCAGCACACTGCATCAGTCTCACCTCCCTCCCCCTGCTCCTCGTCTTCCTCTGCAGAAAGAAAGAGCGATGGTGAGATTGACTCAACAGAAAAAAAGACGTAAGTTTGTGTTTTATTAAATGAGTGAATGTCCTCACCCTCCTGATGCCCTCTAAATGAAAAAAAGAATCGAAAGAATACATCAGACATATCAAGAAACAGAGTCCTGCATGATAAATGTAAAACAGTTTAGAAATAAAAACAACAAGTGAACTAGTTGGGCTGGATTGACTCACCCGTGCTCTTCTGAATAAGACATGGTGACACTGGAGAGAAAAAAACAAACAAAAAAAACATTCATTTTATGAATATTTATGTTATTTTTAATTGTAGTTTCACCAAATAAGAAGGACAGCGACTTTATAAATGTGCAGATTATGTCCTAAATGGGATTATGCCAGCAACATGGATTTGTTCTGTATTACTTGACTGATTCATAAGCAATAAAACACAATTTTGCACTATTCGATACACAGAGAACTTTTGCTGCAATAGCCTTCTTGGGTTAGTTATGACCAGTAGCTTATGGTGGCTAAACTCACATAAAAATTCTTAGTGCATATGAGTTCTCATACCTGCACAAGCAAATGATAAAAACAAGTGACAAAAAAAGTTGTTGTATGACCTTTGGTGATTTGCCATGCAGAAGAACGAAGTGATATCAGTTTCTGTGCCACCATGATGCGGTGATCATTTTTCAGATATATAGACAGAAGAAGGGCTGCAAGTGGATCGGTGGTTAGCACCGTCGCCTCGCAGCTAGAAGGTCGCGTCCCGGTGAGGGTTCTGGGTTCTCCAGCTTCCTCCCCCAAGGTCCAAAAACATGTTGAGGTTAACTGGTGATTCTAAATTGTCTGTAGGTGTGAATGTGAGTGTGCTTGGTTGTCTGTCTCTAAGTGTAGCCCTGTGATAGACTGGTGACCTGTCCAGGGTGTCCTCTGCCTTCAACCGAGGTCAGCTGGGATAGACTCCAGCCCCCCAAGACCCTAATGAGGATTAAGCGGTGTATAGATAATGGAAGGATGGATGGATAGACAGAAGAACATTCTCACACCAACATTTGACAAATGTGTTTAAGACACTGAGGTCGGATGACAGAACGTTTTCTATAAAATGTTCTTGTGAGGGCGGAACGTTTTGCCAGCAATATTCCGACTATGTTTGGGAGATGTTATTGAGGTAACACATTACAGAATGTTCTTCTATAAAATTTTCCGGCAGTGCTCTTAATACAAAATTCTGTAAATGAAGCGTTCATTTGCAAAAACAGATAACTCCATCTTCACAAACCTTCAGAAAACCCACTTTTCCATCTTCTACCTGAGACAATATCAATCAAACTTAAGTTATCTGTATTGTTGTCATTTCTACTGAGCCAAATCCACTCAACTTCAGTTTGATTGATATCATCTCAAGCAAACAACAAAAAAATAAATTTTTCTGAAAATCTACAAAAACGGAGTTATCTGTTTTTGCAGATGAACTCTTCGAATGTTTTCAGGATGTTAGGCTATGTGGTCTAACAATGTTAACACCAAACGTTATACAATGTCTTGAGAATATTACCCAACTGTGAAGTAAAACATTGTTAAACTCTGCAGAACTTTCTCAGACCAATATTTTAGAATACAAAGATTGTAGCTGGGATGCATCTCAAGGAGATTCTTGTATTTTTCCTTCTAATTAAATACTCTGCTTTCACACCCCTGATGGCTGAGTTTTTCTAGGCATCAAAAATACACTTTTATCCCACAACAACAGATAAAAAACAGCATTTCTTCAATGTGAGTTAGAGCTTTTGTAGAATAAGATTAAGGGAAAGGTTCTCTGTAGCTAATGATCTAGGAATAGAAGAGGCCAGAGGGACAATAGAGCAGAGAAGCATCCTGTTACCCAGGATAGGAGTGAGGTACCAGCTGTCCAATCCTTCTTGTTTAATTTGATTTACTAGAGAGAATGTGGGATGGACAGATTAGGCTGGTCGGCTGGCTGCTATTAACACCAGCCAAGTCCTCTATTATCATTTCATCTACTTGCAGTCTCCCTGAACTGAAAGGATATCTAATTGTGTGTGGAGCCCCATAAATATTTTAGCATTCCTCACCATCACTTCAGAAGTTTACATACATATTTCACTGTGACTTGTAACAGCAGATTTTATATTTACGGGGTGCAAAGTCAAAACTGTCTGATGAGCTGCAGCTAAACTAAATAAACAGACAAATGGGTTTCTGGCTAGACGCTGCAACTATAGGCCAATTTTCAGTACATTCATTTCTATGCAAACAACTGAAAGCCCTCCCAGACTGCCTGTCTTTGGCCGTATTAACATGCTAGATCAAGCGCCGAGGCCGCCCGAGTCTCTCAGATCCCTTCATGGTTAGTTTTTAGCCAAGATCTCAGAGTATGAGCATGTGAATCTGAATAAACAGGGGCTTGGACAAAAGGCAGATGAAGGATTGGGAGAGGAATTTGTTGCATTGCTTCACTGTTGGCTAAACTGACCAGCAGAGTCACACTGAGCAGGACAGATGGACGGAGAGCCCAAGGGCACCAAGAATAACTTCATGTCATGATGGAGCATGTTTAATTTCAGAGATGTATAACACCTTTATCCACACTGGTGAGTCCAGTGTTAAAACGGGTTATATTTTATTTTGCAGCTATGTTTTGAACAAGGAGGGCTCGTAGAGTTTTACTGTCATTTAGTCAAAATATTAAAGTGTAACTAAAAGGTTCACACAAGCTGTGAAAACACAACATATTTCACTTCATATTAACATGATAGCATCTCTGAATAACTGAAACAAGCAGATATTGTATCTGTAAGTTTGTAAAAATGAAAAAACCACACTTCTTGATGGCTGGAAGATGACAGTATTAAGAACAGTTTTTTGCAATATACCAATACTGACAAATATACTGATAAGTATTGATATGATGATGTTGATCAAAAAACAGTCCAGCACCAGTAACTGTCTAGTTGATGCTCCAACAGAATAACATACAGCACAGTTATAGTTACAGATTCTCTCCACCTCCCTACACTGAAAGCATTTTTTTCTTTTTTTTTTGTAATTCAAAGATATTGTAATTATATTGTTATTGGGAATTCTTTTTGTCACCATAATGCTGCGGGGAAATTCTGACATCATGACAGCTCTAGTTAAAACTAGAGCACCTTCAGTTTGATCAATAACTTATTCTAATTTATTTATTAAAAATGCTATAATATGTATACATATACATATATTTACCACCTGCAGACAGCACTAACATATTGTCCCCTTTTAAGCTGTTACAGAGAACGTGTCAGCAAACAGTTGCCACTGACACAAGCAGCAAATCAAAACAATGAGAGAAACAGCAGATTGTGTGACGATTCTCTTTGGGTTCATAACCATCAGTTAACATTAGTTATTTGATCCATTGAAAAACAATAATGTGACTGTAGATACTTTCCACAATCTCAAAGGGTTTTTTTGTTTGTTTTTTGGAAAATCTGGTCATAAATCTATTTATTTGAATTGTTAGATTGTACATTTAAAATGTTGACTGCCCATAAACAACACAGTGTAATTAACCCCAGTGGTGTACATACTCAATGGAAATCACAGAATTACATAATTAGTACTATATACTCTCTGATTGAGTGCAAATATATTACAGACCTGCACAAGAAGAAACATCTTGTTTAAGGAAAAGAGTATTATAGTGGAAAAGTTAAAGCACTTACCTGAACAGCAAAGACAAAGATGTTCACTGATGATGAAAAGGAGTAAGGACTAGAGGGGAAACTAAACACAGCTTTATATACGGGGTCCTCTGGGGTAACAAGGAGGTGCGTGTGTGTGTGTGTGTGTACTCATGTAACTCAGGCTGCGGGGACATAAACCTGTTTACAGAGTCACATTAGGAAGACCAGCCTCCCTTTTGGGGACAAAAATCAAGTCGCCTGGATGTAACTGTTACATTCAAGTATGTCGACTTGGTTTCAGGTTATTTTAGTTTTAGAACTGAGAGGGAGCATGTTTTGGTCAGTCCTCACTTCCAGATAAATCTTCAAAGAAATGTTTGAGTGTTAATACTCGGTTTTAGGGTTCACGTTAGGACACTTCGAAGTGATGGTTGAGGTGGGGTAAGGGACTGGGGAATGTGCTTGGGGGAAGATTTAGAAAAGAGGGACAGGGACTGTATGTGGATTATTGGTGGCTTTTGGGGGCATAAGCTGAAGTCTGACAGACAGGATAATGAGTGGAGGGTTTGTTGCTGACCTCACCACTGAAATAAGAGACAAAAAGACAGGTGGCAGGGGCTGAGATAAATACAGAAGAGAAAGAATAACAGGACAAAAACAAGACAGTTTCTGTCACCACACAAACGCCCAAAATAGAAAGGTGATGAACATCACTGGAATCTCTGGTGTTGGTTACAGATGATGTAATCTTATTTCTATGACAGTAAAGCTGAATGTTTAAACCTAAAAGATGATTTAAGAGAGGAAACTAAGTTTGGCTGGTCTCCAGGTCATTCCACTGTCTTCATGTCATTAATGACTGTTCGAACAGTTACACGAAACCTGTTCACTGTTTGACTACATTTTAAGATTTTTATCTTTAAATGAACTACAAAATCACTTAAACATGAAGAAAGATATCTAAGAACTATAAGGAAAGTGACTCACCTGTAATTTTAGATTGTCTTACCTTCATCAGCGGTATCTATCAATGTAGCTATCTATAGATTTATAGATGTGTTAGATAAAAACAACACATACATGATGCCATCATCATCCTTTCCCAACCACATAACTCTACTTGCGTCTTAAAATTTCTTCGTGAAATGCAAATATGCGCTTGCAATGGTCGGATGCAATCGCAATTTCCATAAAGACAAATACAAAGGGGCTTTGGGAAAGACAAAACACATCATGTGAAGGGAGAAGAAGGAAGATTAACGATCTACAAAAGTTCACCTCATTCTTCATGATCAAACATCTGTGCATCAGGTACGAATTATAATTTATCTATGAAGTAATACTAACACAATACAGCAAAAGAGACGATGATGTAGGTGTATAGCAATTCTCCAACATGATGTTAGGGTGATGTTAGGACACCAAGGTCATGGCCCCACAAAGAATATCTGGAAAAAAAGTGTGGAGTTATGTGATCACATATTATACATGGTGTGCTGTTAATGTTGTTGTCTTGAGATAACATTTAGACTACATTGTGGGAACAGTTTACTGCATAAATAAATGTGACATATTGTGATTTTTGATGATGCTGCAAAAAATTAAATTCTGTTTTAAAAATCATAGCTAAAAATTGTATTAAATACTAGTGTTATTTTGACATACCATGAATTATTAATGGAAATTTACTCAATTATTTATTAGATTTTAATTTCAATTTGGATAGCATGGACAGATACAGTATCATTTAATGTGTCAAACAATATAACGGTAAATAATTTTCATTAACCACTCATATATAATATGTATCCGTAATGTAGGATTCTACTTTTTTTTTTCTCATTAACTCTGAAGTCCATCCAATATTGGTTTCAATATTTCATTTAGCTTTACCTTCACTAAAAACATTCTTTCAAATATCTTCCCAAGGAGTGGGCAAATTAAATGGGTGCTATCCTGGGGGGATTTTAGGAAAACAAAAATTGAAATTAATTATGTACCAAACTTGTTTGTCAAACATTTCTAATATTTTTCTCTACAATGTTTGCAATGTCACAACCTCAAAAAAAAAAAAAGCTTGGATTTGGACCCTGAGAAGTCCCACTGGTGTTCAAGTGATGTAAAGAAACGCTTTAGTAGTCTAAAGAGTGCAAACGTTTTTTCTGTGTTCATTTTATTATTTAACAACTTGTATAACATTTACCACTTTATGTCTTAGAGAAAATATGCTGCATCTACTGATTTTACTGCTAGCTTCAGGTAAGTGTAAAAAAATGATGTAACAGTCAAGTTTAATTACAATGAACACTCATGTAATAACAGACAATGCCTTCTTTATGTGATGTTTGGTGGATGACTCTGTACAGGTGGCATCAGTTTGTGTTCAGATGTTATTCGTGAGTATCATCTGATAAACACGGCTAAGTCCTGGAATGATGCCCAGAGTTACTGCAGGGCGAACTACACTGACCTCGCTACCATTGGCAACAGCAAAGACATGAAGACGGTGGTGAGCAAGACGGCAGCCAGCGGTGTGACAAGAGAGATCTGGATTGGTCTGACAGAAACCAGAGCATCGTCCTGGCTCTGGTCTGTGGGAGAAACTGAGACCAGCTCCGGAGTAGTTGAAAACACTAACTGGGCACCAGGTGAACCTAGTTCCACTACTTCCAACTGTGGAGGCATGCAGTCTAATGGGAGATGGTTCAGTTCATCCTGTTCAACAACACTTCCTTTTGTATGCCAGTCAGGTAGGATATAGATTATTCAAAGTAGCCACATTCTCTGATATCTCTCCAGTAATCATACTGTAAGGCTATTATTTACCACCTGTGGCAAAGTTTGTTTTTTTTAAAAAATGAAACAGTTACTCTAGCATGACAATAGCATTGTCAATCTGTTGGGATCATACACACCATCATCAAGTCAGAAGTGTACAATACTTTTTGGTTTTTAAATCCACATAGAAAATTTTGACATTGAAATTTTGCTGACATGTTTACCTAGATGAGTGAACATGGTCAGTCTTACTTTACAGACTCCAAACCATGACCTCTGCGTTGGGGAATATAGCCCCTGTTCATGGGTCACCTGCCCAACCTGTTGAGCTATCTGGGCGCCACGCTATTACCTTTAAAACATCAGCACAGGCATCATTGTCATTCTAAGTGTTTTAGCATGCTGATCAAAGCATTATGCTCAAAGCATTGCTATGCATGTGTCTTAAAGAGCCCATACTATACTTTGTTTGGGCATTTTTTCTTCCTTTATTGTTTATACACGTAAAAGGTCTGCAAATTTACAAAACCTGAAGTCCACACTGAAGCAAGTTTTACTCTCCCACATAAAACACTTACCTGCCTGAAACACCTTGCTTGAAGTCCAGGCTTTTCATCCGTCATATATCTACGTCACCATGTAACACATTTGCAAAACTCCTGCCTGCCAGCTAGCTTAGCATCACGTTGAACAAATAATGAGCAACTGTCTCGCAGTCTACCATTATTTCTGCACCAGAGCTGCATCTGCAAGAGGTATGTTCTTATAGAGTAGTTATGTTGCTTTTGTGGCAGTTGTCCAGTCAGGGGGCAGTTTGAGTTTTTCAAGACCTTAAAGAGACAGAAGCTAATACAGAACGCTTCAGACATAGAATCAGAAGAGGTGCAGCAGCAGTGTACAGTATGCCAAAAGCAATGTGTTGTGAGCATTTAAACACATTGTTTTTTTTTTTTTTAACCAAACGTTTCAATCTTTATGTTTTAAAATATTAACAGAAAAGGGGTCCGGTGAATTTCCTCTTCTTGTTGTTTCTGAACCAAAGACTTGGAAGGAAGCCCAAGAGTACTGTCGAAAGAATAGCAAAGACTTGGCCAGTGTGAGGAGCCAAGCTGAAAATCTGGAAATACAGGAAATATTCAACGATGACGACGACGACGACGACGACGACGACGACGACGACGACGACGACGACGACGGCAAAAAGATTAAATCTGTCTGGATTGGTTTGTTCAAAGATAAGTGGACATGGTCAGACCAGAGTGGCAGCTCGTTCAGACACTGGCAGAGCAGCCAGCCAAATAATGATGGAGATTGTGCAATATACAGCCCCAAATCAAAGTCATGGTATGACAGAAACTGTAAATACAAATGGCCATTTTACTGCTACAATGGTAAGTATAAAATAACTGTTTTTTTATTCTTTGTTATGAAAAGGGTTGATTCCTCCTGTTTGCAGAGATGTTTCATCAGTTGGTCTGGTTAGATATTAATGTTTTACCATGAATGATATAACGAAGCAAACTGAATGTATACTTTTTAATATTTTTCTTTGTTTTGCCACAGAAAAGACAATAGAGAGTGTCGCGGGAAGAATTGTGAGATTGGAAATGAAGTCAGATTCATTCCTTGACTTCAATAATGCCGCTGTCAGTCAAGACATTTTGAACCAAGTAAGTTGCCGACTCTAAACTGCTGCTGATCATCAGTGAAAGTTTTTGTGCACTCAGGTGGATATCCCAGTAACATAAGTCATTTGAATGAAGGTGTAGTTTGTCATTATGATTTGTTTTCTGACCTCCACAGATCCAAACCAGGAATGAGCAGATCAAGCTTAAGTGGAGAGTCCAGCCAGACGACAACATTTTCCATATCAAAGAGAAGAAGAAAATCATTTAAGGCTGTTAGATTATGGCAGAAAGGGAACCTACCACTGTATGATATTATCTGTGCTGTCAAACAGGATAATTACTCCTGCACATCTGTGTACGCTTCACCTATAATCATAAAAATAGTCCAACTTAAGCAGACAGCACAGCCAGTAAAATCATCAGAGATAAAGCTAGAATTGGTTGGGAGTTGTAGTCTATTAGAACAGAAATAAAAGTGTCACATAGTTTAGACGACAGCACACATTACATTTGTGCTTTGGGGAAGTGCTTTCTGATGCATTTGACAAATATTTATGCTTTATTTGTTCTGTACGTGTTCTGCGTTGTTTTGCAGAAAAATGACATAGATAAATCCAAGACTGTAAGCGTTTTCCAATATGGGGTGTTGAGTGTATTACTGCATATATGAGTTTGATAAGTTAATAGGAGCTGCAGAGTTCAAGTTTAAAACCAATAAATAAAAAAGAAAAGTACATTTTAAGAAACAATCGAGTGAGCCTATTACACCGCTACAGCCTGTTGCTCTGAGGCTAAAAGTTACAGCTACACTGTAAATCATTATTCAGCTTAGAAACTGACTTAACTGCACTCTGGTTGATTAATTACTTCAAAGTCATCTTATGAGTTGTGAAAGTGAAAATTAGTGAAAATTAAATGAACTGAACTTAAAAAACAAGTTTAGTTAGCTTGAAAAAATGTGTTGAATGAATTAGTCACATAGCTAATAGTTAGCGATTTGCGTTTTCTTATACATTTTCTAAGCGTCTAAGACTCAGCTGTTGAAGCCAAGTTATAGCAAATGTCGACTATCTCAAGCCACAAACAGGAAGAGTCTCTGGTTAGTTTTCACCCTCCAACAATGCATCCTGCAATCTGCTTATATGCTAGTTTTGCTTCTTCTAAACTTAATTTAATGAGTTGAGTGAACTCTCATTCAGATAACTCATCATTTTAGGCCAAAACATCTCTATGTATAAGAACAGCTTTTCAGTTCTAACGTGGTGTAAGACTAACAAATTTTACATTTCAAGTTCAGTTAACTTAAAAAATGAGCAAAACTAATATTCACATTAAGTAAACTAGAGCATATGACTTCTCCAAACTGATCACAGTAGAAGTGCTTTTTGGGTAATGTAGGTTCCAGAACATGTAGAAGAAAATTCAAAAATCAGTTTCAGCCTTTTTAAACAGTTTAACAATTTTATGAACGCTCTGGAGGACACTTTCGAGGCAATAGAAAGAAAGCCACACTTGAGGCTTGTTTTCTTTAAGAATGTCTTTATGTTCCCTCTTAATATCGCATTAAAAAGGCTCACAATAGCAATATAATGAGACAAGCTGATCTGATCTGGAGTGACAACAAAAGAAGGCAGTAACCAGTGGAGAATGAAAGAACTCCGTGTCACTGTATCACACTGAACATCTAAACCACATCTGTCCTGCAGCGCTGCTTGTGACTGTATAATCGCACATGTTCATAAATACAGCTTGCATTGTTGTAGTGTTTGTTTAACACAGTGGTAAGAATAAAAAGAAAATAAACTGTTTTATGGCAGTGAAATAACTGGAGTTTGTGAGAATACAGTTTTTAACTCATTGAATGTGAAATGCCTACTGACCACTTAAAGGAAAACTGACCAACAGTATTTGTATGTAGTTTGAATATGTTTGAAAAAAAAACCGTAGTGGGTAAGTTGGCACTGAATATAATACCTGTCAGACAGGAATGGAATTGAGTCATGTAATTTCACTGCATATATAAACAGCTGACTCTCAGCACAGCATTACAATCATGTATGTAAAAAGCAGATTTATACATATTGAGTAAACACTGAGAAGTCCCAGACTTCCAAGATTTTAAAATACCCGGTGTCACTGTTACAGCAATGTTGCATTCAGATGGTAGAAAATGAAATCCTCTCCAAAGTCCTGCATGTTTTCACTATAGCTGATGCTCTGACAATCAAGACACTTCCAACTGCAATTTCTAAACAAATCCAACAACAGTGGCACAAAGAGTGGCTTCCTCAATCGTCTCAAAACATACTGCACTTGAAATTGTATTAAATTATTCCCTGCAGTAAGGTGACGTTAGGATTTTCTACCCTAACGCTGACTGGTGCAATGCATACAGAGCGTTTTTTCTAATAATCAAATTCAAACAATAGTTCAAAATCTCACAACAATGACTTTTTTATATAAAGGATTATATTTTTCAAATGATTTGATTGTTAAAACTAAACCCATAAACCCACTTCTTCGTCCTTCCACACACCCATCACACAGCTAATATAAACACACGAATACAGATGCATATCAGTAAAAATATCACCCTCCATTGCGATCAGTTTTCCCATGGAGCTCGCTTTTGAATACCCTGCTTGGCATGAGGAACAAACACCTGCCTACCTCACTTTAAAATGTAACTTATATGTTGGCACACCTTCCCTTCAGCATCCTTGTCCTTGGATTAAGAATCTACTGGTCTTTCTTGACTTCGGGTCGACTCTCTTCTGTTTTGCTGGGCTCTTTTTGGTTGGGGCCCAGCAGATGTATGAGGTCATGCAGGGCTTTTCTGATCTGATCACCAAACTTGTGGGCGTCCTTGAAGAGAGACACAAAATAGAGAATGAAGAGATGCATATGTCAGAAAGGAAAAAATAAAAAAATATTTTACAAAATTCCTTTCAGAACATTTCTGTCATCACTCACTTTTATGTGATCTGCTCTCATTAGTCTAAATAATAGCAGAGAGAGCATTCAAATAGCCTTGTCCCCTCAGGGTATCAAGTGGGTTACTGTTGTCATGGTTGATTGAATTATAAAACTCTCAAGTGATGGATTATTATCACTGATCATTACTGGATTCAAATATCCAAAATCTTCACAGGCTTATTTTTAAAATTATACTACTCTTGTCTTCCTCTCAGAAAACCAAAGGAATAATAACCATTATACTTTAAAACATACTTAAAAGGGATCTTTTAATTTTAGAATGCTATGTTTAGGTTCACCGCTTTACTTTACAAAAGGGAAGTGAAAGTGTTACAGCACCCTCTTCAAAGCCACCAGATTGTGTTTGCAGATAGCAGGACTTACTAATACTCTGTTGTGTCACTTTGATGTTTTAACATTTTAGTTCCAGCCCAAACTAACCTGTTAAGACACCAAATAACAGTAACACAAGTAAACTAAACGATCGGGGCAGCGTTACACAGCGACTCCTGTTTGATTGCAGTAAATTTACTGGTGGTAAAGCTGTGAAAATATTCTAAAAACTAATTCTTATGTGACTAAAATAGATTTTATTGTTGACCCCGTCTCCAGCAGTTCACTGCTTAGCTTCTGTGCCAGTACGTTTGCCTGTTTCTCCAAACTGGGGGTGTACCAATAGAGATCTACTGGAAGTAATACACTGACTATGGATAAGGACCTTACACAACCTCATTTCAAATAAATCAAATCATCCCTTTATTTACTAGAAATACATATATTTTGTTAACCACAGATTTTAAAAAGTAAAATGTGTGGCTGGGAAGTTGTAAAACACTCTTTACTTATGCAGCGTAAAACAGCTACTCACAGTGTCTGGACATGAGTGTTTGCACGAGATGTGAAAGTTAATCATGTTCTCTCCCAAAATGTAGTAGGACACCCCATAACCATCATCAGCCACCTGAGAAAGACACAGAGACACAATATTTATAATCTTGGCTGCCTAATGAATAACAGAAACACCTGTGTTGTATGTGTTAGAAATATCCATCTATCCATTATCTATACACCGCTTAATCCTCACTAGGGTCGTGGGGGGCTGGAGTCTATCCCAGCTGACTCAGGGTGAAGGCAGGGGACACCCTGGACAGGTCACCAGTCTATCACAGGGCTACACTTAGAGACAGACAACCAAGCACACTCACATTCACACCTACGGACAATTTAGAATCACCAATTAACCTCAACATGTTTTTGGACTGTGGGAGGAAGCTGGAGAACCCGGAGAGAACCCACGCTGTAAATTCCACACAGAGTTGTCCTGGGGTACTCACCTGGACACGAACCGGCGACCTTCTAGCTGCGAGGCGACAGTGCTAACCACCGAGCCGCCTTGCAGCCCTGTTAGAAATATCTATTTTTTTAAATATTACAAAAACTTTAGCGCATAGACTTTTACAGAGTGGAATAAATAATGGAACTGTGCTCAGCCATCAAGATGGGAGGCCTCTAATTGAAACAGAGTGTTCACTCATGTAACAGCAGCTGTGATTGTATTCATAAAATAAAGTGTAACTACAAGAAAACAAAGGCATATAGTACAATGTAGAAATGTAAGCTTATTTCCTGTTTCCATCTTAGCTACAAGTTCAACACTTATATAACTCTGTGTCTGAAACATCGGGGTTAATACTGACTGGTCCAAAGCCCCCTCCACAGGAGATGTACTCTGGGTGGTTGACCATGTCAAACAGCTCCACCTGCTGGACTGGAGTCTGGCTTGTCGACAGCCTCCACGGCTCAGACAGCACCTGAAACACCCACAAGACATGACATCAGTTTGCTAAGGTCACTGTCCTACTGAAGAGATAAATGCTCATTCTGAACTGGACACTCTGATATGAATAAAGTGACAAAACCTCTTTCAAGAAAGGAGACTCCACTCCGAGGTATTTGGACACCACGTAGAGGCAGAAGAGGTGTCTGTCGATGCCACCTCCAGTCATAGCCATGCGGTACAGCTGCTGGTGCTTTTCTGACGCTGCACGGAACAAACGTCTGCACACATCTGCTGCCTGGTGGAGAATGGCACGAGTGGTGTGACTGCTCGGCGTAGCGCGAGTTAAAAATATGTGTGATGTGTTTGAGGAATACAGCAATCAGACATCAACATTTGTAATGTGGCAGTAATCCTGAAGTAATCTTGTTTTGAGTTTATACTAAGTACACCTTCCAAATTGTGCTGAAGTGCTGCACAAAAATTGCGTCCACGTTCTCACCTCTCCACCCTCCAGCGCTCGGACAAAGGCACTACTCTCATTGGTGCAGGAGCGAACAGTCTCGGTCCTGCCCTCCCTGAACAGACGGGTCATGGAGGCTTCGTATGTCAAACAGAAAGTCCTCCGTTCCTGGAAGGCAAAAAATAAAAACAAAAAATGACACTGACAGATTATATTGAACCCATGTCCAAATTTAATATCATTCTGTCGCATGTAGTCTGCCTGTGTACGACATGTGTAAGTCATGTTTAACCCCTGAAAACCAGCGAGCGGTTTCAAAAAGCATGTTATATCTTTAAAAATTGCCAAAGTGACAACCATTTATCAGAGCCAGAAAGTGTAAAAACAGAAGAACCAGCAGATTTTCAATTTCCCGGAGGCATTTAAACTACTGATCTGTGATGTGCCATTCACTCAGGCAGCTTAACCAAAGTTATTCTGAATCGTGATATTTCATCAAAATCATTTTATCCTACATGTTGCAAAAAAAAAAAAAAAAAGCTTGCTCAAACCAGATTATGTAAAAACTAAAAGTTCTTTGCTCTGTGAGTTAGCTGCAAGCTACAGCTATCAACTAACATTTTTTTCCAAGTTGTCATCTCGTTGTGTGCACGATGTTGTTTAATAAATAATCAAAGAAAAAAATCTCTTGTTTTTTTCATCTTATATGATTTATGGCATTATGACTCACTTAGACTCATAAAACACATTCTTGAGTTCTAGCCATGGTTGTCTTGTTTTCAAAAAAGGTGCAGGACTTTTTGTTGTAATGAAAACTGAGCCCACAGTGAGTAGAAATGTGACGGGGGGAAAAAAAAAGCGTCTCAACTGTTCAGGGTTCAGGGGGCTAAATGCAGTCATCATACATCCGTTCTACTTCAGTGAGATCTTACCCTGTAGTAAGCCAACTGAAGAGCCATCTGAACGAAGGCATCTGGACTGACTCGACACCTCTTGACCTTCCCTTTGCCGAAGTCTCGGAAGGAGAAAACATGGAAGTCCACGTCATCAGCGAGGGCCTGGGCCACTGCCAGAGACTGAGAGATCTGCTCCTCACACTGAGACAAACACAGAGAAACAGCCAACATCAACAGGGCTGAGATAACTCTAACCACTGCATAGTGGTTTCAAAGAAAAAAGCCCCACTGACATACATCAGATAATGAGTCACCTTTTACTATGCATTTTTACACTTTATATAACTATGAAAATGTAGCACTCATATCACTCAGCTACAGTCTTGTTTTTTTTTTTCAGAACAGCCTGTCATAGTGCATGCAACATTAACTCTAACAAAAATATATATTGAACTCCCTTTAAACCTGAACATGCTCTTACATTTTGGTTTGTGGACAGAATAATCAACCAAGTACATTCTGACCTTTGCAAAGAGTCCCGTCAAAGTGGTAACTCCTACACTTGTCACAAGAATTCCTTTAACTATTCTAGGTTTGACAGCTACAAAATTACTTGGAAAGGAAAACGCTTGTACATCTTGCTTGCTGCCATGTTTGTGAGGACAGTGATGTTTGAATGGATAACTAACTTCTGGAGGGATTTCCCAATTCAGCTTCTGTGGTCGGGGCAGTGATGAATCCACATCTCCTTTGCAGTGACCCTCAGCGTTGTAGCCGAGCTGGAAGCTGTCGGTGGCCAGCGTGTACTGGAAACACACAGCAGTGATAAGTGATCTTCTCAGACTCAGGTGAAAACACTGTGCAGTCGACTTGTCTGTCATGTTCCTTACCTCCCATAAGTGTGCCAACACTGGTGCATCAGCCCATGAGTGCTCTGCATTTATACCGTTCTTTCCATTCTTGTAGTAAACAACTGTGAAGGACTTATCAAACCACCTGTATGGCAATGACAGAACAAGGTCGGAGAAATTTGAACAACTCAACAGCATAGCAAGAATAGCTAGCTACTTAACTGCATGTTCACAAGACTAATTAAGTGTAAAATTACCTGTCGTAACATTTGCCATGCAACAAGGACTTGGCATAGCGATCTAAACTAGTTGCTGGCTCATCTCCCATCATGCCCTGTTCGTCATCATCCAGGGTCACAAAAAAGGCGGCTCTCTCAATGCAGTCCAGAGAGCGTTTATTGATCCCACTGCTGAAATACTGCGTCCTGGCTTTAGCCCATGGTATTCTGGAGAATGACGACATTACATTAGTGATGCAGTGTGTTATGTGGTCAATCTGATTTAAACACGAGTGCCTCATCAAACTGACCTGTCTCCAGCGGTTAGGGCTCCGAGTTTGGCCTCTCCTTTGGAAGGAGGTGAGGAGTCATCGAGGATCCTCTGAATCTGGAATTCAATCTCCCTTGGAGACAGAAGTCTGCCGGCCTGGTACACCTTGAGACGAAAGTAGCGACCTCTGTGGTACACCACTACGTAGTCACTGTCCTGCCAGTGTTGCACAGTGTCTTTGCACATAAAATGAAGGGAGAAAAATGGCAGATGGTAAAGTGTAAATATTTTACCAATGAAGTCAAAGGAATAATTTGGTGTGCAACTTAGAGAAGATAACGAAGGTGCTACAAAAGACTCTGTCAAGTAAATGCCAATACATCAGACATGATAGACTTATTCTATACGTCTTATTGTTCATTTTTAGCACTGAATATATTCAAAAGTGCATCTGCAACATGCACTTGTGTGTTGATAAAATGACATAATGAATGCAGAAGTAAACATTACAAATAAACATCTTTTAAATAAATCCAAGCGGCATGTAACATTTCGTGAACAGAAATCTGTTTGTGTGAAAACATAAACCTTCCTTTACGTAAAAATGTACACAGTAAAGAAACAACAATTTCGAACACACAGTAAGATTCCTGAGATATTTTCACAAAATCCGACACACCTCTTTGACCAATTCAGGACCTGTTGCCAGAATAAAAAAAGAAGGCGTTATGTGGGGTTTGATGGGAGTGATGTCGCCTTTGGTATCTCATTCTGCTCTATAAATCATCTCAAGAAGGCTACAAAGCTGAATGATTATGGTCACATCCATATGCAAATGCCTGACACATTAGACTCAATTTGCTTAATTTGGATGAACTGTACAAAAAAAACAACTATTCAACACAACTCCATTGAATAGTTTTGTGTTGAACCAGCTTAACCTCACCTGTGACAGTGACGGGATATTTAACAAATGCAGAAATGGAGACACATAGTAGGATGTTTGAGTAAAGATCAGTGCTGCAGTATTGACAGCAGGAATGCAGATTGCTCTTCTGTCATTGTGATCTCTAATTTGAAATTATTCTCGACATATTAGCTGATTAGCATTATAGAAAAGGAAGAGGAACTGTATTTGAGACAGTGGTTTTAATTCCTTCTTATGCACAATAAAGACCTGAAGCACATTTCTTATCATACTGGCCTAAAACTAGATTTGGGCTGGTTGTGTAAGAATATAAATACTACCTGTTAGTGTTCCAGGGATTCGACAAGTGTCAAACATCCGCTCAAACTGATAGGAACAGCAAGGAACTGCAGACCTCAACAACCACTGAGTGGGAAAAAGAAGGATGGGCCCGTGCAAAAACAAAATACAGGAAAGAGAGAAGGAAATATAAAGGACGATTGAAAATAAATACAGGAGTGTTGGGATAAAACAGAAAAGGGACAAAAGAAGAGAAGAAGGAAGAAGATGAGAAAACAAAACGTGTGGGCAGAAGAAAATAGACATTAGTTAAACACAGACCCTTTTCCAGAAACCTAGACAGACCTGAGACGAGACCAGAAGGCGAGAGGAGACAGATGAGAGATGGCAGGATGAGCTGTACAGCAGACACACTGTGACTCAGTGAATCACAGACGCCTCGCTTGAACCACACACACACACACAGCTCTCACTTTCGCACAATTTTGTATTCGACACTTAAACTCTGGAGGGTTCAGACACCTTCAGTATGCCTCATCATCACTGACGGAGTAGCATGGCAGCATCGCTCACTATGAAGGCAGAAACTGGGGCGTTTAACTGCTCATGTACACTATCATCCACCATACGTCTGCACTGTGTGTGTCTACGTGTGTGTGTACAAGTCAGTCTCTTTACCGGTCTCCTCTCCAGGAATGCGTGTGGTGTTGAATATCCTCTCACACTGAGCTGCACACAGAGGAATGGAAGTGCCGGGTATACGACTCTGGGAAACGGAGAGGAGAAGGCGAGGGCGTAGGGAAGAGAATGGAAGAGGGGCGGCGGACGAAATGTAGAGTCAAGCAAAAAAAAAAGAAAAGGGGTGGGGGGGGGATTTTTTTTTAAGAGAGTGAGAGGAAAAGAGGATGGTAAATGAAGCAAGGAGAGATTGAAAAGAGTGCAAAAGGAAGGGGGGAGAGATGAGGATGGTATGAGAACACAAGGGCAATGTCTTCACAAATACATGATAATGAATGAACATGCTGTCAAGACACACAAACATGGATGGATGGATGTCACACAGTCAAATCACCACACATACTGATGGCCTCATACATCCACTGTAATATAGAAATGATCTAGCAGTAATATAATACACTGAGGTCCCACATTGAAATATTCCAACATCTCAAACTGTGAGACATCTGATTAACGGCTCGTCTGTTGCCAATAATGAAGCAGGGGTTTGACTTGTGGCTCAACTCACAGGCTTGAGCTCTTCTTTGTTGAGTTTGCGACGGTACAGGAAGAATGCATGGATGCTGTTGCCTGCCCTGGCTGCCTGGATGGGTGTTGGAGTCACGTATAAGAAGTCCTGGGGAGAGAACAGCAGATACAAGAAGTCAGACGGAGTATACACACAAGTGATTATCCTCCAAACACAATGTTCACAATGAGTACGTCTGGGATTAAAAAGGTCACAGGTTCCTTGAAGAGGTTTACAGTAGAAACACTGATCTCTTGCTACTATGCTCTGATCAAAATACAGAGAAGTGAGGCACATATGACAAAGGCATTACCATTATGAACAGGTTAGACTAGGATTTGTAATAGAACAGAATAGAATGGAAATACTTCATTAATCCCCAAGGGGAAATGTGGTTGTTACAGCACAAAGAGTAAAGATACCACCACCATGAACACTGATAAATAAGCAAAAATACACAAAAAGAAAATATAAAATGCAAAATGTACAATAAGTGTATGATGGTTAAGTAGAAAAGCCGTGTGCGAAGCGTGTTGGTTGTTTTGTGGTTTCAGGGTTATATTGGGTTTAACAACAATGATAGATGAAACATGTCTACACACAAAGGCCTACATTTGAATCAAGAGAGAAGGCCTGTGATTGATATCAGGGGTCAACCAATATGTGTTTCTCAGCTACTTTGTAACAGCTAGATTATCTTAAATTGACCTACTTTGCAGTTTAAATGGACCTCAACTTAAACAAAAATCAATTTACATTCAGTTATGAAACAAAACAAGGTCCTCATGTCAGTTTCTGAACCATCTCTCTCCCTGCCTTGCCCTCCAGGTATCAGTGCCATCTGTACCTTCTGACACAGGGTTGATGTGCGCGCTAGCTTTTGGGAAAACCCAATGACAGTATGAAGGGAAACCCCATAGAGCTGATATTTGTAAGTCACTATATTTTAGATACTCTACAGCTGCAATTAGTGCAGAGTTATTAGATCTAATGGAAGGAGCCAAAATATAACCTTGTCACTGTTTGATTCATGAAGCCAGAGAGTTGTAAAAATGTATACATTGTTGAAGATGTATGTCGTGAGTTTGAAAGTTACCCGATGACACTAAAGAGTGAATGAACCAGGGCTGTCGAGTCCAACTGAACCTCTGCCAAAAAGGCCTACAAAATGTGACACTGCTAATTTGTCACAACAAAGCTGCAAGGACTGATGCTTGACAATGTGGCCCTACATTTTCCAGTAGTTGCAGTTAACAGAAAAGCAGAAAATCAGTGTGAACTTGGTAGCTCCTAAATGTATATGAGGAGCTGTATGAATAGTGTTGTTGACATAAACTGACAGTAACAAAGAATCCCTGTCTTAGACTAGCAAACACAAACACATAATTATATCCACTATCGCCCCTTCCTCTGACAAACAAACCTCACAAATCCTTAAATACCTCAGAGACCATATAATTAAAGCTAATTCAGTTGTATGTCTAACATAATAATGATAGCTAATCCAAAGAGACAACTACACCCTGTTAGATCTGAAATCTTTTAGAGGAAAATAAAGACAGAAAGATTTTCATACCATGCCATAGTAGTTACTGTTGACCATGATTGGGCTTCGTCCTCGTAGATAAACATACTCCTCCCACCAGTCGCTAACCTGAAACATACAGAAAAACAGCTTGGTGAGAAAACTAATATAGCAGCCAAGTGGCAATCGCATCAATCACATATTCACACGGGATAAATAATTCAAAGCACAAAACCTCGCAAAGATATACATTGTTAATGGAATTTTAGATTTTCTTTCAATCGCCAGGCTTTGGCCATTTAAGCAGCTGCACTTAACCAGGCCATTGTGTCTAACCACTTACGTAGTTTGCGGCCCAGAGAGCTTTGAGCTTGAGGTACCACTGCAGGCGGTTCCCGAGACTGCTCTCGAACTCTGCAGCCAGCTTGGTCATGCGTTCATACTCTGTATCATCCATGAGTGGGCGGACTGATTCTAAGTACTAACAAAAAGAAGGAAAAAAAAAAAAAGAGATAATGCAACAAACAAAAAAGGACATTTTGTAATATGGTCAGTCTTTTATCACTACAACTTCATCCGATTCTGTTGACGGAACACCAAATCTCTTCTGTCAAATGCATCTCAATTTAGATGCCGAATGATTTTTCTAAAATTCAACTAGATAAACAACTCAAGACAATAAATGATGAATGTGAGAAAACATCCATCTGTTTTACAGTCAGTAATCTGCGTGTTGTCATTTCCTCTGCTTCATGTGACATCTCACCCTCTTGACTGTGTCCTTGACGGTGGGCACAGGCAGGTTTGGCAACGAACCCTGGTAGCTGTAGAGCAGAGGCTTCCTGCCAGAAAAGATCCGCACCAGCGCCTGGCAAAAACACATTAACATATGCACACTCAAAATGTAAAATGGAGCACATCTATAACACATGACATTTTTGGTTGATTTTTTTCATGAAGTAATATATGAAAATAATATACATCATACAAATCTGATATATTAAAAAAAAGCAAGATCTATTTGTGTTTTAACTTGGTGTGGATGTCATTTACAGTAATTTTCTTTTTCTGCATTAAAAAAAAGAAACAACATCAATAGCTTTTTAGGATTAATTCATTACTTTTGTCAGTAGGAGAAACAGACTACCTACGAACACCTCCACATTTCCACATCTCTGAACTTGCTCAACCTAATAGAGACTGCTAACTCATTGAGTGTTAGCTCAGAGTTGGCCTGAAAAAAACTGGCACTGTGTCAAAGAGGTTGTCAGTGCGATTTTATTTTGATTAAACAGTTGGCCAAAAAGTCAAGCGTAAACTTTGCAAACAGCAGTTTGCATATCACAGCTTAACAACCAAGATGGCATAGCATCTAAAAACAGGAGACCAATTCGTCTGTGTTGTATTCCTGTGCTGGGATCCCCAGTTGACATAGTTCTATTTTCAGAAAGCAAATGAATACGAGCAGGCGCTCTGATTCTATTGTTATCATTTCAGAATAAAATAATTAGTTTGAAAATATTTAATATGCTACAAAGCCTAGATTTTTATGTATGTTATTATTCATTTAGGCTAATAAGTCTAACAAGCAGAACACATTCAGTGCACTGTGACCAATTTAGTTAATCTAATAACAAGATCCAGATTTTTGTTTCTTTAGTTGACTACAACCCTTGTTAGTTAACAATGGTGCATGGAAAAGGTGAGAAAAAGCACTGACCACCCAGACTTTGGTGGTGGTGGACATCTTGCCGTGCTGCTCAAACATCCAGCGGTGGTAAGAGAGGAGCTGCTTGAGGCACAGGCGCATGGTAAAGATGAGCAAGAGCCAGAGCATGGTGCTGAAGAGCACCGCTGACAACACGGCCTGGCACTGGGTACTCATCGACTGGCTGGAAATAGTAGAGAAAAACGGAGAGTGAAGTGACAATTAAAAAAGGGCAAACAGAAGACAGCTTAGTGAAATTAGGAATCAAGGACAGTTGAACAGATTGAGACGTCGCAGTGAAGAGGGACGACAGAGATGCATCATATTAAATTACAAAAACTAACTGTTTCTAAGTGGTAAAAGTAAGCAAGTATACTTACTTAAGTACAGGACTTCAGTACGTTGTTGAGGTGCTTGCACTTGAGTATTTCCATTTTCTGCTACTTCACAACATTTCAAAGGGAAATACTGTATATTCTACTCCACATTTATCTGACACTTTTAGATTTAAGATGAAGACTAAACAAAATGGATAACATAATAAGCTTTTAAAACATAACATTTTAGATGTTTACAAGCTGTTGACTACTCCCTCTGAACTTCTCACATGGTTTTATTTCAGTAAATATCAGTCAGAATGACCAAACCACTACTTTTACGTACATACTTTACCTCCATTTTGCTGCTAATACTGAAGCACTTTTATTCAGGTGGGATTTCTCATGCAGGAGCTTTACTTGTAAATGAGTAATTTGACATTGCTGTATTGTTTCTTTTACTTAAGTAAAGGATGTGAAGACTTTTTGCTCCACTATTGCGTCGCAAGCTGTGACAAACAAAAACTAATCTGTTGGGGTGTAGCTACAGGGGTGTCCGGTGAACCTACAGATTCATTTGTTCTGTTTCTCAGAGTGATGAGATGCGTTACCTGACTGGCAGGTGCTCCTGTATCTTGGCTATGAGTCCCATGGAGGGGTCGGAGCGAGTGTACATGGTAGCCAGGATCGCTATGACCACAAAAAGCCAAGACGAAGGACTAGCAGGGTACACTCCTGTTATCACGCTGTTCTGTTAATGTGAGAGAAGAAACATTCATTTAAATGCTGTTCTTCCTGTTTACAGTCAGTACAATGACATGTACTGTGATAAAACAATAAAAGACAATAAATGACATGTAAATGCTCAATTCTAACTGTGTTATTTGCATCTAGCTCAGCACCAGACACGAGCCTCATTTGAATATGAAACGCCTCTACAGTAATATAACTGTAATTCTTAATCACATTGCCTCTGAAAGTAAATGAGTGATGGAAAGTAGAATCAAACTGACAAAGTGTGTGCCATAATGTGTGGCACTCATTATTGATTGACGGTGAAGCCCACACATTACGATGGCAAAGACCTCAGTGACAGATGATCAGTAAACAAACTGAAACAAAACATTTCAAATTACGACTAGTTTACGATTTAAAGACGACGGTTTAAAGACTACAATTAAACAGTCAAAGACGATGACTAAAAAGGTAAACTGCTTCAATGGTTTACATGAACGTTCAACATTTAAGTGTGCTAATACTCTGCTAAAGATCTATGTTTTGAAGGCTTACTGTCTACTAGGGGTGTAATGGTACACATGTTTGTTCTGTAAACAACCTGTGCATGTGTACGCAGACCTACCAGAGCTTAAAGAATCTCCACTATCATTAAAGTTTGCGGTCTGGGAACACTGCAGTTAACCACAGTGACGTTGGACAAAGACAGGTGGATCAGACAACAGCCACATGCCAGTATTTTTCAGCTGTGATGAGGTACGTAGCTGGTTCTGTGTTGAACTTACTCACTCACTGGAGACAGCATCACAATGTGAACATCAGTAGTACAAGGAGAAAAATGAGCGCTGTACAAACCCAGCTCTAATTCAGACCAGGTGAAAGCGACAGCAAACGCCATATGTGTTTTTAGAACAGCAGATACACAACCACACTGTGTTGTCGACAACGTGAGTTTTAAATACATGCTGAGGGTAATCGAGCCCCTTTACAAAGTTCCCACTCGTCTGCATTTCAGACAGCAAGTCATACAAGACCTTTAAAAGCAAACACAGCTGTCAACACCTTATCCAAAGCATCTGCTGTTAAATACAAGGACAACACAGCATTTCCTTTATCTATTTATTTATTTATTCTTTATTTGAGGAAATATTTGTTTTGATTTACTTTCAAATATTGCATTTTTAAGGTGCGTTGCAGCCAGTTGTAGCGGTATTAACAGGCAATTTTAAGAAAACACAACCATAGTCTGTTCAGTAATTCAGTGTTTAGATTAAAAAACAAGAAAGAAGCAGAATGTTGTGTAGTTCTTGTTTTCACTGCACCAAAAATGTACCAAGATATTTGTGTGCTGTTACACCCCTACTGCCTACTGACTTCAAAGGAGGCTCTGAAAGGTTTGCAGCTTGCAGATCAGCAAACTTGCAAACTGAGTAAAATGAGCAGAAAATGAAAACTAAAACCATAACATGAAGAGGCCAACAGAAAAAAGTAAAGATGCCTCAGCATTTATCTGTGGAACACATGCAGATGTTAACATGCAGAGATGAGGAAAAGCAGTGAAAACAAGGAGGAAGAAGAAAACCCTAAGCGAGGCTATGGTTATTACAGATGGTTCTGGTAGATGGGCAAGGCAAAACCAAACAAAACAGGGTGGCCATACCTTGAGTCTGATGACACGTTTCTTCCAGGAACGTACACCAGAGAGGTAGATCTCAGTGAGGGCCTGGTGGGACAGCTGCAGATCAATGCCCTCTGGGGTGACCGTGAACTGGAAGGCCACCGCCTGGTGGGCTTCTGCCATGATTACTGCGCACGATGAGGCGACCTGAAGTGGAGGCATAGCGAAAGAGAGGAAAGGTTTGCTTGAACTGGCAATTTAAAGGAGTCAGCCAACAACCTCAAGGCAAAAGAGAACAGAGTGTGCTGCAATAAAAAAGTTGCACCTAATACACATATGGGAAAAAAAACCTGTAAAAATGGAAATCATGCACAAATATTTAACATTCTTAAGTGACGGTTGCTAACATCTGAATAAACTTCTCACAGAGGACAAACATATTAAAATTTCTTGTGTGCATTTTTGACAATACAAATATGTAGGATTTGCTTACAGGCTTCACATGACTGTAAAGGACTTCCTTAAATTAACATGTTTGGTAACAAAAGCAAATAACATCGTCTGCAGGACCATGAATCTTAGCTTAACTGCTAATATAGGGTATTACTTTGACTTCCACTTCCATTTGTGGGAGAAAAACACAAAACAGTTGTGACAACACCTTGACTATGACATTTTAATATCCCCCGGGCAGATTACAACAAAGGGCGAATGGGCAGCTGTTTTCTGTACCATGAATTGACCCACTTAATAACAGGCTGCTGAGAACTGCATGTAAGCCATCAACAAGGAAAAAAAAAACATGCAAACAATAAAAAAAAAAAAAAAAGAAAAGCTTACAGCGACATCCCTTATGCTTTGTGAATTGTGATCACATTTCTTGCAGCGGCTGACGGGAGTCTGAGCCCTGAAGGTGGGAGCAAGTGCTGGGAAGGGACATACAGATGATTCATCAAACTGCTGATGATTTGCAAAAAGTGTGCGCGTATGCCTGGCAAAACACATCCATCTAATGCATAAGCATTTTTAAGAAAAGCTCAAAGGGAACACATTATTTATGATTCCTTTCAAATGCTAAGTCAGCTTGAAATTGATAGAGTTTGATGGGAAAGCGCTGAATGGCTGCTGATGTGATTGGGTCTTTTTGTTTAAGGCAATTACTGCTTCTCTTCACAAAGGGAATTGATTTTCCTCCACAAATAGGCTATGGATAATGCCCCGAGGTTTAGTCACTGTGACACTGGACTGCACCCCTGTGGAGGCTACGTCTGCTCTTATTGTGTATCTAAAAACAGCAAACACATACACACCACTTCCTCATCGTCCCCCAGGTCCCTCTGGGGCTCTGATCTTTATGTCAGATCAGACAGATAAAGCTGTGCCTGTGCCAAGGACCAAGCGTGTTAAATTCTACCCTTAGTTACTTCAGCCCTTTTCTTTCAGTGCCAACACACACACACACACACACACACCTGCTCAGTTTAGCTTTGACCACCCACACACACACGCACAATGAAAGAGCCCTCACTGTGACATGCTGGTCCCTCTAGAGGTTATTATCAAGATCGCTTTGATGATTAAATGTTTCGTGAGCCTAATCTGCACTGATAGTGGAGTAATCCTTTGCATCTCTGCAACTTTGATTCCCAATTCACTTAGAGTTTGTGTCTCTTTAGCTGTTTTATACAAAAAAAAAAAAAAAGACTGCCCCAGTGGAATCTCTGATAAAGCTACAGGTATAATTTATAAGATTAAGAGGTGAGAAAACAGTGGGCTATGAATGGCAAAGAAGAAGAAAAAAACCCTCACACAACTGTTTATTTTTTATGTGCTTGATAAAAGAAAAACACTTGTGGTCTTTGGAAATCTACCAGACAGTAAACACAGCAGATCAACAACAGCCAGTGGCTTCACAGGAGGAACTGAGGACAGAGGAAGACAGGGCTTATGTAAACTAGGTAAGAGGTAAACACAAGTGAGGAATATTGACCACTGGAGCATCAGGAGAATACATAAAGTGTGGATAAGCAGAAGAATACCCAAATCTCGGGGCTGTACGGTAGCTCACCCAGTACAGTTTACATACTAAGTCTGAATCATTTAAGTCTCTCTCTGGTCACAAAACCCCTAAAAACTCATGTCTGTGTATCAAGGTTGTTTTTTCCCATAAGTTTCCTCACAACAGGCACATGTTGAAGGCTTGAAAAATCTGTCAAGCATCTGTCTTTTGGTCTTTTTACCTCAAAGAACATAATCAGTTTCAACAGAACAACTGAATGATAAAGTAAAGAGGAAAGAGTTACTGGACAATACAGCATCGGGTGTAAAGCTCTGCCTCATCTCAGCTCAGGGAAAATGAAGCTGTTTGTTGCTGTGATGTGCACCACTCATAACAGTAAGAGTAATGTTGTTGTCTTGTCTACTGCTGTCTCTGCGTCATGTTGTCCCATGGAGACACTTAGTTTTAATCTACATTATGAAAACAAGTGAAAACATATTCATCTGGCTGTTTATTTTTTTTATTTATTTTAACTATCATGGGCTGCAAGATGGCTCGGTGGTTAGCACCGTTGCCTCGCAGCAAGAAGGTCTCCGGTTTGCGTCCCGGTGAGGACACCTAGGATCTTTCTGCGTGGAGTTTGCATGTTCTCCCGTGCAGCGTGGGTTCTCTCCGGGTTCTCCGGCTTCCGCCCACAGTCCAAAAACATGTTGAGGTTAATTGGTGATTCTAAATTGTCCGTAGGTGTGAATGTGAGTGTGCTTGGTTGTCTGTCTCTAAGTGTAGCCCACAACCCTAGTGAGGATTAAGCGGTGTATAGATGATGGATGGATGGATTTTTTTAAAATCATGCTCACACTGTTGCAGCAATCACATCATTGCAGACAGACAAATTATTTCAACATGGCTAGCACTGCACCTTATAAGTTTGAATTCACCTAAAACACTCGAATATCCAGCACAATCCGAACAGTACTACTGGCCAAGGCTGGCTGCTGAGGACTCATTTCAAGTTGATATCATTATCACAAGAAGCTCATCTGGAAAATGATTAAGCCACTGAAGTAATCCACTATGATTATCCCTTCTACCAAATACTGCTTTTAACTAATTCTCATCACTATCATTGGCTCTCTTCACGTGCAGGATTAGACTTGATTTCACAACACCAAGGGCTTTATGTTACAGTAAAGGTAATCTCTCTGACAAGCCTGACCTCCCTCCTGGGAGACAATTCACCTCTTCATCTGACTTTATGGCGCTTTGAGATCGGATGGCCTTTCATCTGGTTTACTGAAAAATGTTTACAACTTTGTTATGGACAGTTATACATTCTCCATCGCTGGAGTAATGCAAAGGTGAACCCTGGTAAGTCAACACCTCCTGAGCTTGCACAAATAAACCATCCAAATGTAGCATGCACTGTTATGCTGAGTGGTAAATCCCTTCACACCCAGACAATTCAAGTAGACGCAAAGTTTGTGTAAAACCCTGGAAGCTATCCATTGTCAGGCAGGGCCGGGCAAAGCTGTGCATGTTTCAGCCGTTCAAGGAGAAAAACTTAGCTAATGTGTAAACTCCATGTGAACATTAAGCCATGCACTGAACCTATGCTTTGACTATATAGGGCATAAGGCAGGACAAAATGTCAACAAACAGCAAATAACAGAAGAGATGACACTCGGTGCTTTGAGTCAACCCAAAACACAGAGCAGACAGGCATCTGAAAAGGGGTTGTTGCAGCTAGCCAGCACATTTTTTAAAAACCAAAAACACCAAGATATGTATTGTTTGGTCGTGAACACAAGATCAAATTTCAGCAGCAGAAGTACATGAATAATAATCATCTTCAGCTCCATGTTTGACTCGGTACCTCGACCTGTTGTTATTTTTAGCACACTAATGCTAGCTGTCACGCTACAGTTACAGTAGGTGAATGTTAATTAATGCTAACTGACGTTTAAACAAACTGGAGCAGGTCAGAAAATGAACGCTAGCTGTGCTGCTGCTGCTGCTGCTGCTGCTGCTAGTGCTGGCTAGCCCAGCGCCCAGCCCAGTGTGCGGTCGGCGACACACCAACGGCTCGTCAATGGCTCCGGCGGAGATGCGACCGTTTGTGTCTTCACGTCAACGCAACACAACACCGTCAGCAGCCCGTTAACGAACCTGTCGCTGTTGTCGACGGCGCCGAAATTTCCAGAATCCACAAAAAGCAGGAACCGACTGTGAACTTCTGACGTCGCGCAGGCTCCCGGTGTCTGCTGCTGTAGCGTCGGTGGACCCTCCTCCTCCTCCTCCTCCTCCTCTTCCTCCTCCCGACTGTACTACTGATGCTCGCATGGATGAGCTGGTGCTGCCTTCATGGACCAGCGGACATCTCAAAAACCATGCGATGGTAGTGATGCCTGAGGAGGGTATGGAACCTCTGTTAGCATCTGGGCCCAGAGGCATGGTAAATTGCCCCTCCACCATAATTCCCCTCCTGACTAATAGATATCTTAATCACAGGTCTTTTCTTAGATGCTAGTAGCTATGCTAATCTAAAAAAAAAAGAAAGAAAAAGTACTGCAATCATTTCACTGATCAAAAGGTTTCTTTGGGGAAAGCTGATGTTTACTATTTACATGAGAGTTATATGGAGGCTCATCTATTTATTTCAGTTAAAAATACATAAATAAATACAATATGTCAAAGTGTCAAAGTCTCCCAATGGATCAGTGATTTTCAAAGTCTAGCTTTGCTAAGGTTACTGCTGTGATACATGATGTACACTATCATCTGGTAAAATAGCATAAAATAAAATAGCATTAGAAGCTGTAAAATATGTATAGAAATACAATTATATTATTTAGTTATTTTATAATTAGATCATTTGTAATAGTTTTTAATTATTAAGGAGCTAATGACTCCTTTAGGATATGGAACTCCCAACTAGTCAGTCAGAACTGATGAAGCCTCTTGGATGAGAGGTGGAGCATCTTCAAGGAGCTCAAGCAAGTCCATTTGCTGTTATTAATCTATGAGAAGTCTAAAGGGTAGTTACTGGATGTAATTAGAGTTCTGTGAGAGTAGCTATCTGATGGGCTTCAATATTTTAGTTTATAGACTTCAGCAGTGACCCTTTGGCTTCGGCTCTGAATAGGAGACTTGTGATTTAAAAAAAGGTCAGGGTTGTCAGGATGGATTCCAGGAACAAAATGTAATAAAACCTTCAAAAAAATTGTGAATATTCTTTAGCCATTTAGTCTTTTTTTTTTTTTTTTTTTTTTTAGAAATGTTATGCATTGTTTTTCTGTTCTCTCTGCTGTCTTTCTCTCTCCCCTTTATCCTCACCCCAACCGCTTGAGGCAGATGATCGCCCTCCATGATCTCTTAAACGTTTTTTTTCCTGGCAATGTCACCTAAGAGGTGTTCAGAGGGAATCTTGAAATTTGTTGGGTTTCTATGATACATAACTGTGAGGTCTTTGCCCTTCTATGTGCAGTGCCTTGAAAGGACTTATGTTTAAACTGGTGCTATATCAACAGTGTATCTGTGCATAGTGTATATTTGTTTGTATTTACTTGTTGTGGGTCAGATGAGAGATCTGGCTGCTAAAAATAATTTGAAAATGGAAGATGAAATTGCTTTATTGTTTTGTTTTCTGTTTCTTCAAATAAAAGCACTTAAAGTGTAATCTTATTTAAATCACTGGCCATCCAGATTTGATCATCTAAAAAGTCTGTATCTGGATCAAGTTGATCTAATTCAGTGTTGCTTAAAGAAAGCTGGATCACCTGAACCTGGATCATCATGATCCACAACAACAGGGCCCTGAGGATAAAATGATGGATATATTTCACTTAATATATAATATACACTTTTTTTTCACATATACTTGTCATATATTTTTAATACCTTCTTTAACAAATGTGCATCATCCCTTACCTTTCTTTTCAACAGTAAAATGTCACTGAACAACTTTCCTTGTTACACCGTCATCTGTATATTCACATCACAACAAATGCTTGTGTTTAGGTAAAACCTCTTTTCAAATAAACTATCTCTAGGGCTGAAAAATGTTATCTCAAGACCAACTTACAATTTTCCTGGAGGTTTTAAATGCATCTCAGCAGGAATGAAGTGGCCTGATATGTGCAACCATGAGATGCGTTCAAGATCTCCAGAAAACCGTGACACTGGAAACTCCAGGAAATGCTGCTGTTTTTTTTAAAACCTCAATTAGGGATAATGCTCATTAATAGCTTCATGTTATTCTATTCTTTGACATTGCTGCACATAATACAAATAATACAGATGGTGATGCTATTTCAAGCGTTATGTTTTTCAGCATTGGTGCAAAAGAAACAGCCACGTCAAATGAAGAGACACCACTTTAACCCAGAAACTAAATAGACACACATATGAATTTAGGGTTTATTATTGTAACCATAACAATAAGGTGGATCTCTCTTTATTTTGACCATCAATTCAATCATAATTGTTCTTTTTATCACAGGCAATAGTTATAATAGTGCACTTTTTATATTTAAATTATGATACAGACATTTCTTTTTTTTTTTAAACACCTTATTCTACTGACCCTTATGAATGAATGGAGATTAGTTTACAATCTTAGCCAGAGTTGGGTCAATGAAAGTGAAAGGTGGCGTGAAGAGATGAAAGTGACGACGGTGAGCAATCATAAAGTGTGCATGGAGTGTGAGGCAGGCGAACGACGTCGTACAGTTTCTCTTGTGACGATGGCTACGCGACAGAGGTGAGGAGGCGGACAGACAGGTCAAAGGGACGAGGCATAAAAGCAAGAGATGAAGCGAATTTAGCAAGCATTCATTGTACGAGAAGAGAGAAATGACGTGCCTGGTTATGGTTTTGGCTGTGTTAATTCATTTAATATTACTGGGTCAGTCAAACATCTCGTGATCAGCTCAAAATGCATCCGCTTGCACAGTTTTCAGCTCGCTCCCGCTCAGTCGTCATCCACCCCGTCTCGCACACAGATTCCAGTTACCAGAGATAAGCGTGATTAAAAGAGACGTGAGATGCAGACAAAGATCAATCGGAGATGAGAGCAACTTGTCAGCACTGCTATCAAAGTCGTTCTTTTTTTTTTTTTGCGTGGAGAGAACAAAAAAAAAAAAGACAGATAATGAGAAATTAAAAAAGATGGAATTGTTATTGACACATTTCTGTAAACAAAGATAATCAAATAACTTAAATAAATACAAATAAATAATAAATAGAGTTTGAGACGTGGAGAAATACATAAATAAAGCATTCAAATAAACAACAAAAAAAAAACGTAGCACTGTGTATCTCTCTGAAAACATTCTGCACTTTTCTTGCATATTGTGCTGTATGGAAGACTGGTGATGAACATCGACTGGTCTGACAGAGTACTGGAGTAATACGCGACTGTCCGAGTTGCTACGTCTGCTTGCAGAATGGTGCGACTCTCGGTGATGAGCGTGGGTGCAGTGATGGACTACTTGGCTCGTTGGTGAACACTGAAATGAGGAGCGTGGGGTTAGGAGACTCTGCTTGCTTCCCATTTTGAAGTCCTGTTCATCAAGACACTGCAAGCCTCGTAAGTCCGGCATCATGAAAACGTCCATTGATGAATTTTCCTTTGTGTGTATGTGTGTGTTGGGTTTTTTTTTTTTTTTCTTTTTTTCCGTTGTTTTATTTTGTTATAAGTCAGTACGTGAATACTATGGCAACAGGAGACAAGCTCGACGAGAAAGGTGGTTTCTGTTTGATCCACAGGTCGGGAATGCTCTTCTCATTCAATCCAAACAGCTGTGATGAGGTTCATGGAACTATTCACGCGTAGTGTTTTTTTTGTTTTTTTCCCATATAGTAATGTTCATATTTCTGTTCAAATCAAAAAAACACTTTCCTTCAGAGCAACAAGGGTCCAATGCAAAAAAAAAAATCTCGGATGCATCGCTTCGTATTGTCTCTGAGTAAAAAGGAAATACAAAAGAATCGAAACATTGAACTTTAAATGAATGCCTGTCAGCTTCCCCTGTCCAACACCGTAGTGTTTCAGCTGCTGTTGTTACTGCGATCACTGTGCTACTGACATCCTCAAAAGAAGTATGTAAACATAAATAAAAACTAAATAAAAAAATATTTATTTCACATTCACTTACTTAGCTTACTTTGTTGGTTTTCTTTACCTCAGGAGAAGACACTGCTGGAATTCCAGGTGGTAGTTTCTCCTGAGAAAAACAGGACCTTTTGTTCGTCACCACTCACTGAGGTGGTAGCAGGTTGTTGACTCTTTAGGATGCATTTATATTTCTTTCAGTACGGACTGGTATTTGCATGTTGCTTGATAGTGATATGAGCGCACGGGTTAATTTAAAGAGTAAATCTTGAGAACCATCACAAGACTGTTGTTTCTTTTTGGTGTCAGATACTGTATTACAATGATATGGTAGACTAGCCTATCTGATCGTGTCAGCATCCTTTAGCAGGCTGATTTGCTAACTGGCATGCACATTAGCACTTCAAAAATCCTAGTTTGATCTGTGAAGCTGTATCTATGATGGATACCAAACTGCTCATTCACATATTATTATTTTTTTTTTTAATTAAAGGGTGGTTCCTTAACACTTCCTTGTTATTTAAGGGTAGGAATCCTGGTGATCCGAAAGATCAAGAGAATGTCGAGTTGGAAAAAAATGCATGGGGGGGGGCGGGGAAAGGCTCGATCCTTGCTATGGTCAAGCACCTTCAATAACTTAGTCTAGGAAGAATAGGAGTAGCTCATGGCTTGCAGGGATACTTGGAGATGAAGTTATACTGTCTTCTTTCTGGTGTAGTTCAGGCATCCTGCTGTGTGGTCTCACTTTCTATCCTACGGTTGGGACTGGGTTCCGTTGGAGGACAGCAGTCGGGTTCTCTCTTTTGCCGAGCCTCTGCGCTGCAGAACTCCCCCGCTGCCTCCTATGCCTCCGCCATCTGCTCGGTCGCCCCACTCGCACCTGTCGCCCCCACCCTCAGAGCGCCTCGAGTTTTGGCGGGTGGGGGTCCCGTGGGGCCGGCCGTTCTTCTCATCTGGGAAGGGATCAGCAGCAGAGAACAGGAAAGTCACTCTCACCGTAAACAGGCTACAGGTGTGATTGAAACGTTGGGGGTGAGCCTATAATGTAGCACTATACTTTCTTTTCTTTCTGCCAAAAAGTCAGCTGCTAAACCTGGCCACTGTAACCTTCAAAGGCATTCTTAGCAAAAACAAGTATTGTTTGAAGAGAAATCTTAATTAGATGACACAGAAATTAATGTTCCGGCACAAACCACTGCTTCAAAGACATAATAAATGGGTCAAAGAAGAAATTTAGTGTGAATATTGTCAGAGAGCTCAACACTTCAGGTGGATCTGTTCAGAGCAAAAAAATTACAGTTAGTTTCCTAATATGCAAACAAAACCCACAATAAAATATACAAATGTTTCAACTGCAGTGTAGATAGATAGATAGATAGATAGATAGATAGATAGATAGATAGATAGATAGATAGATAGATAGATAGATAGATAGATAGATAGATAGATAGATAGATA